AGAAGTTGATTGTATGAATAGCCTTTGTACACGGCTATGTCAGCTTCAAATTGAAAAGTCCCCGCAATGACAAATGCCAACTCGGGGGGACTAGAGAATGGAGTCAGCTTTTAAGATAGGCTGGTCACTCCTAGTCTCGGCCCGAGGGACCCACTCGCCAGAAACAGATAGGCCCGGGTGTCCTACCACTGCTTCACTCGGTGTTCTTTAGACTACTCGACTTCCCGGGCACGTCGGTCCCTTGATCGGTTTACAAGAGGGGGGACTTGTTGAGATAGGGGCCTTTGCCTCGTCGGCGCTGTCGGGTCCTTGGAAGGTTGAGGACGCGGCGGTGGCGAGGGTGGTTGACGCCAAAGAGAGCTTGGCGGAGGAATGATTGGAGCCGTATTGGAAGGCCTGTCTAACTCGGTGAGCCTGACTGTCCTTGTCGTTGCGGCGGCCTCCATGGTGGCGGTAGTGATCGGCGGTGGGTTGAACATTTCCTTAGACGTGGGGAGCTCGGGAGTAGGGTGATCGGACTCTTCTTTGGAATCTTCCTCGAATTCTTCCTCTTCCAACCAATAATGGTCTTCCCAAAGAGCAGGGTTGAATGAAAGGGGGATATGAGAGAATCGACTATAAGTTGGCATGTAGCCGAGCAGGGTATACGTCGCTCGCTTAACGGGGTCGCAAGACCGGACCCTTAGGAGATCGGCGAATCAAACTTGGGATCTCAAGGGTTGAGCAACGTCCCGGTGATATCTTTCTACAAAAACAGAGCCGAGGTCAGTTCTATTGATAGTAAAATCAGTACAAGTCTAGAGAGCAAAAACATACCTTCATCTCTCGGCATTTTGGGACAGTACAATCCGACATACTCAGGCCCCTATCCCTTCTCCCAACTGTCGCCGAGCATGATCAGATCGTCTACATATCCCTTGTCAAAGTCGGGCATATGGGTTATCAGATACATTGAGGTATCCCAAGCCTGGAGGTAATATCTTCCTCCGACAACTAACCTTAGGTCATAGTAGAACAAAATTTCATTTACTCTTAGGTCGGTCCCCAGCCGAGCATTTAAGGGGATTACGCCCACCACAATCCTAAAGAAATTAACCTTTTATTGAAGGGGAAAGAGTTTCAGTTGTATCAACATTTTCAACAATAGGGGGTAAAGAGGGAAGCTCAACTCTCCTTCCATGATGGCCTTGGTCTAGAAAGGCATCATGTCTATACTTCTCATATCCCTCCTATGGTGGGTGGGGTTAAAAGGGAAGGCGAGGACAGACTCATGGATGTGGTACCTAACCCTGAATGCTTGGATATTCTGGTCAGTCACTTGGGTTCTCCTTAACTTGGGGTCAGCCCTAGCCCTAATAGATGTCTCCCCCCTGGTTCTATGGGTTCTAGCCATTGATGGGTTCTAAAATGAATAAATGTAGAAGAAATGAAGAAAAATGCTCGAGAGGAAGTACTTACAAGAAGGTGGTCTTCGAAGAAGGAGCTCCGACGACGAAGGAAACTGGGGAGAGAACAGAAAAGTGCTCGGGGTCTGATTACTGAAGAGAGGCTGAGAATGCAAAAGTTCTAAAAAGACATGAATATCTCCTATTTATACTACTTTACAGGGAGTGAGAATCGAAAAGTTGGGCCATCATTAGGGGGTTTGAAAAAGGCGACGCGAGATGTGCAAGTAACCGTCGTTATTAATAAGACGTGATAATTGAGCCTCCAGTCTCTTTATGCCACTTGTCTCACACTGCGAAAAGAATGGAGGCTGGGGGGCAGTTGGCGGGACTCTAGGTAGCTCTACAACCCTATACTGACACGTGGAATAATGAAGCTGTTATGATGTCCAAAAAGCACCGAGGTATGGTGACCCGGAGGAGTCAAATACGACAGCTGGTATCGTATTTAATGCGATACGACCCCTCATTTATAGCGGAATGAGTGATAGTGACAAGGCTAATAAATGTGCGCCTGCGACCACCTGCATTCTAGGAGTCTAGGCCTACCATCATGATGGCTAAGGCATTTAATGACTGATATGCCGAGAAGATACGATCGACTCTTCCCGTGGAACTGTTCTCTCGAGTATTCAATGGTTAGTTGTTGTCAGATGCCGATCTGAGGGATGTGAATACTCAGGGAAGGGTATAAATGCTCGGCGTTTAGCCAAACACTTNAATATCTTCCTCCGACAACTAACCTTAGGTCATAGTAGAACAAAATTTCATTTACTCTTAGGTCGGTCCCCAGCCGAGCATTTAAGGGGATTACGCCCACCACAATCCTAAAGAAATTAACCTTTTATTGAAGGGGAAAGAGTTTCAGTTGTATCAACATTTTCAACAATAGGGGGTAAAGAGGGAAGCTCAACTCTCCTTCCATGATGGCCTTGGTCTAGAAAGGCATCATGTCTATACTTCTCATATCCCTCCTATGGTGGGTGGGGTTAAAAGGGAAGGCGAGGACAGACTCATGGATGTGGTACCTAACCCTGAATGCTTGGATATTCTGGTCAGTCACTTGGGTTCTCCTTAACTTGGGGTCAGCCCTAGCCCTAATAGATGTCTCCCCCCTGGTTCTATGGGTTCTAGCCATTGATGGGTTCTAAAATGAATAAATGTAGAAGAAATGAAGAAAAATGCTCGAGAGGAAGTACTTACAAGAAGGTGGTCTTCGAAGAAGGAGCTCCGACGACGAAGGAAACTGGGGAGAGAACAGAAAAGTGCTCGGGGTCTGATTACTGAAGAGAGGCTGAGAATGCAAAAGTTCTAAAAAGACATGAATATCTCCTATTTATACTACTTTACAGGGAGTGAGAATCGAAAAGTTGGGCCATCATTAGGGGGTTTGAAAAAGGCGACGCGAGATGTGCAAGTAACCGTCGTTATTAATAAGACGTGATAATTGAGCCTCCAGTCTCTTTATGCCACTTGTCTCACACTGCGAAAAGAATGGAGGCTGGGGGGCAGTTGGCGGGACTCTAGGTAGCTCTACAACCCTATACTGACACGTGGAATAATGAAGCTGTTATGATGTCCAAAAAGCACCGAGGTATGGTGACCCGGAGGAGTCAAATACGACAGCTGGTATCGTATTTAATGCGATACGACCCCTCATTTATAGCGGAATGAGTGATAGTGACAAGGCTAATAAATGTGCGCCTGCGACCACCTGCATTCTAGGAGTCTAGGCCTACCATCATGATGGCTAAGGCATTTAATGACTGATATGCCGAGAAGATACGATCGACTCTTCCCGTGGAACTGTTCTCTCGAGTATTCAATGGTTAGTTGTTGTCAGATGCCGATCTGAGGGATGTGAATACTCAGGGAAGGGTATAAATGCTCGGCGTTTAGCCAAACACTTGTCCCATCATCCTAGCATTTAGTAGGAGGAGACGTGAGTGGAGAACACTCATTGCGCGAAGAGAGGAATGTCAGACATTAATGTCCAGATGAGACTGGAGGTCTTTGACAATCATTGCTAGTTCCGGTATAAATACACCTTAGAAAAATAAACAAAGGTACGTAAAATTGAACCAGAAAAAGATGATTCGTTGAGCTTGAACCTCGAATCTTAATACTGACTTAAGTTTCGGAGGAGATAAATCGGATGTTTACTTGACCCTCTTTTTTTGACCCTGTGGTTGTTTCAAGTTTATTAAGTTAGAGGACACTATCTCAAACTATTGCAAGAATATTCCGTACAGGTAGCACGGTTATCCATTTATATAGAATCAAAGTGGCTATGGCATTGATTTGAGAATTAGCTCCTCAAATTTCACAAATATTTGAAAAAAATCATAGTCAACTGTTATCATTTTCGTCATTGCCCTTAATTTTACCTCGAGAAAAAAAAAAGATTTTCTTAAAGAAAAAGACAAGATTAATCCTTGCCATTTCCAGGTGAGACTGTGACCACATATGCAGCCAAACAGCGTCATGTTATAGGATCGAAGTTAAAATCTCTTTAAACCCATTATTTCATTTGCTAACATAGATAAATTATAAATTTAAATATTTTAAATTTAAATCTTGATAGCACTTTTAAGAATATTCTAGTCCAGGTGTTTAGATAATTTGTAATTATTAATTAAAATTAAAAATAAAAATTGAAATATTATATACATGACATATTTTTATTTTTTTGAGGAGTGAATATACGGTACAGTGATCAGTTGCCCAGTTCGTAAAAAAAAAAAAAAAAAACTGGAGCTCCATAGAAAATACCATTCATAATTCAAAGCTGCAGTCAGGGTGGCAAGTCTCGTGACCCAAACGGAACCAATACATCAACTTGGATTCAGTCGGTGAGGGCGTTCAACCTGAAACCCCTTCAATTTTTTCTGTTTATTTCACACTTTGGCGCTTTTTTTTTTTTTTTGTTAATCTCTCTCTCTCTCTCTCACACACACACACATTAAATCTCCATATGGCTTTGGCGTGTGTTTGTATGCTGTTCTGATGTGAAAGCAGAGCTAAAAGATAGAGATATACAGACAAATATATCCGATATCACCGATACTAAGCCAACCAACCATTATAGCTGTGAGCTTTCTCATTCATTCTTTTCTTTCGGTAAGTATTTATTACTCATTGTGCGTGGTGTGTGTGTGTGTGTGTGTGTGTTTATGAAATGTTTGTCTCTTTATATAGGTTTGAATCCTTTCGCTTGTATTATATATGCTCTTATATATATATGTATAAATCAATTGCTATTTTCGAGTATTTAATTGCTTGTGAAGCTGAATGTATACGATGATTCGAATGTTTTGGTGGTGATTTTGTTTCCGGTTTTGTAGTGAGGGGAGGTAGATTGTGTTAGTACAAGTTTGATTTGGGGGTTATGGTTGCTCATTGAGGTTGAAATTTGAGGTTTAGAAGAGAACATTGTGTGCATGTGTTTCCCTAAGTGCAGAAGCAATGCAAAAGCTATAAACGAGTCGTCTATTGTGTCATGTCAGTGGTTTGTTCTTTGAATTGATTCCTTGGACGATGGACGTGTTCTGTGTTCTGTGTTCTGTGTTTGTGTAATGGAAAGCTAGATGGTGATTCCAACCATATGTCCTCATATTCCTTTTTTGATGATTCTTTCCATAGAGAGAGAGACTTTCATTTTCGGATCTAACAACCAGCTCCTTCACTTGTGGCTTTTTTTCACCGGTTTGACTAGGTGATTTGAAAGCCTACAATACTAGAAAGGGAAAACAAGTGCTTTTCCGGTGGACCTTCACCTTCTTGTGGATGTATTCTGTTGTTTGTGTTCTTGTTATAACAGAACTCATGTGCCAAACAGTGTACTGGTAGTGACGCTACTTGGCATCAGGTCAAATGTTCTGGATTCATTTGTTTCTCTTGAAAACCAGGCTCTGTGGATTCGTTTGGTAACAGTTTTGAAGATACTTTGTCATTTACAGTGCAGAGGGAACGACTTCTCTTGTGTAAAACAAGCCCAAGACTTCTGTGAGGTCCACTTATTTCTGAAAAATTGGCTAAGGATCTTTGGTTAAAAGACTGTAGTGGGGCCAGATTATACAATTATTCGAGTAAAATTTTTTTTCTTAGTGTTTGACGTGGACATATGTATCCATTTTCAGGTTCAAGGTTATGTTGTCTGTGCGAGGATATGATATTGGTTCTGATGAGTTTGGAGGGTTGGATTTGTTGAAGCGTTGAATATAGAGGGAAATACTTTTCTGGCCTAATGAGTCGAGAAGTAACGAAAGGGAAGCAGAACAAGGGCTCTAACGTTGCCGAGAAAGTGGTGGTCGCCGTGAAGGCGTCGAAGGAAATTCCCAAGACAGCTCTGGTGTGGGCTTTGACTCATGTTGTTCAACCTGGGGGTTGCATAGCATTGCTTGTTGTGGTTCCTTCCCAAAGTTCTGGTAACTTAATGCTGCCCTCTTTGTTATACTTCCTCTTTGTTAGGCAAGTTAAGCTGTCATTTATCACTTTCTGTAGATGATGGCTTGGCTCATATCTATCAAACATTTTATATTTATGCGCTGTTGTTGGAATCGTTCACCATTTTCCTGTTCTTTNTCGCTTGTATTATATATGCTCTTATATATATATGTATAAATCAATTGCTATTTTCGAGTATTTAATTGCTTGTGAAGCTGAATGTATACGATGATTCGAATGTTTTGGTGGTGATTTTGTTTCCGGTTTTGTAGTGAGGGGAGGTAGATTGTGTTAGTACAAGTTTGATTTGGGGGTTATGGTTGCTCATTGAGGTTGAAATTTGAGGTTTAGAAGAGAACATTGTGTGCATGTGTTTCCCTAAGTGCAGAAGCAATGCAAAAGCTATAAACGAGTCGTCTATTGTGTCATGTCAGTGGTTTGTTCTTTGAATTGATTCCTTGGACGATGGACGTGTTCTGTGTTCTGTGTTCTGTGTTTGTGTAATGGAAAGCTAGATGGTGATTCCAACCATATGTCCTCATATTCCTTTTTTGATGATTCTTTCCATAGAGAGAGAGACTTTCATTTTCGGATCTAACAACCAGCTCCTTCACTTGTGGCTTTTTTTCACCGGTTTGACTAGGTGATTTGAAAGCCTACAATACTAGAAAGGGAAAACAAGTGCTTTTCCGGTGGACCTTCACCTTCTTGTGGATGTATTCTGTTGTTTGTGTTCTTGTTATAACAGAACTCATGTGCCAAACAGTGTACTGGTAGTGACGCTACTTGGCATCAGGTCAAATGTTCTGGATTCATTTGTTTCTCTTGAAAACCAGGCTCTGTGGATTCGTTTGGTAACAGTTTTGAAGATACTTTGTCATTTACAGTGCAGAGGGAACGACTTCTCTTGTGTAAAACAAGCCCAAGACTTCTGTGAGGTCCACTTATTTCTGAAAAATTGGCTAAGGATCTTTGGTTAAAAGACTGTAGTGGGGCCAGATTATACAATTATTCGAGTAAAATTTTTTTTCTTAGTGTTTGACGTGGACATATGTATCCATTTTCAGGTTCAAGGTTATGTTGTCTGTGCGAGGATATGATATTGGTTCTGATGAGTTTGGAGGGTTGGATTTGTTGAAGCGTTGAATATAGAGGGAAATACTTTTCTGGCCTAATGAGTCGAGAAGTAACGAAAGGGAAGCAGAACAAGGGCTCTAACGTTGCCGAGAAAGTGGTGGTCGCCGTGAAGGCGTCGAAGGAAATTCCCAAGACAGCTCTGGTGTGGGCTTTGACTCATGTTGTTCAACCTGGGGGTTGCATAGCATTGCTTGTTGTGGTTCCTTCCCAAAGTTCTGGTAACTTAATGCTGCCCTCTTTGTTATACTTCCTCTTTGTTAGGCAAGTTAAGCTGTCATTTATCACTTTCTGTAGATGATGGCTTGGCTCATATCTATCAAACATTTTATATTTATGCGCTGTTGTTGGAATCGTTCACCATTTTCCTGTTCTTTTCCTTCTTGCCAGGGGGCGAAGTTAAGTCTGCATCTAGTGTATTTGTTTTTTTTTATTTTCATCGGTGTAAAACCATCCTTTGGAGGGTTACCTGCTGTCAATAGGTTAGATTGTACTTATATATGTTCATGTTTTCCAGTCATGTAATCTCTTTTTTTCCATTTGTTTGGTGGGTTTTTAGTTTCGTCAATGTCTGACCCCTATAGCCTAACAACATTGATTGGATTATGGTCATATTTTCTTTGACTTTTGAGAAACAATAGCATTCATGCTCCAATAGATCAGTCCTTTTATTTTTTAACACATGGAGAAGGGGTGATGTACTCACCAACATAGATCATTTTCCTTTGCACTTTTATAAAGAATTGTTTCTTTTTTAGGTTTATCATGCTGAGCAGTTTGTTCCAACCCCAGGACCTGTTTACTGTTACTCTGGAATTTTATTAATTAGGTGCCGTAATTTTGTTGCTTTATCGTTTCTTGCCTTCCCATTTTTGATGTAGGTTTGAAGAGTCATACAACTTGTGGTCATCAATTACATTTCCTGCCTCTCCTTTTGGAAGATGTAAAATTGACAATTATTTTTTCCCTCTTATTCAGGTAGAAAATTATGGGGTTTCCCAAGATTTGCAGGAGACTGTGCCAATGGCCACCGAAGATCTCCTTTGGGGACAACTTTGGAACAGAAATCCGACATCACAGATTCCTGCTCTCAAATGATCCTTCAGCTCCATGATGTTTATGATCCGAATAAGGTGAATGTATCAATTTGTGCCAAGGGTTGGGTATTCACCTCCTGATTGCTGATGTGTTCCCATTTTCCTGATTGTTGCACAGGTAAATGTGAAGATAAAAATTGTTTCTGGATCACCTTGTGGGGCAGTGGCTGCAGAGGCGAAGAGAACTCAAGCTAATTGGGTTGTATTGGAAAAGTAAGGTTCTTAGTTCTGAGGTTCACTAATTCTGATAGTTCTTCCTACTTTGTCGAGTTATTGGTGATCTTTGTTACCATCCCTTGCAGGCAGCTCAAACAAGAGGAAAAATGTTGCATGGAAGAGCTGCAATGCAACATTGTGGTTATGAAGCGATCCCAGGCAAAAGTTCTCCGGCTAAATTTAATTGGATCATCTGAAAAAGAACCTGAAGCAGCTTGTCCATTACCTTCTGAATTGGATCAATCATCCAAGAACCAACAAAAATGCAAGAGTGATTCTTTGAATTCCATACGGGGGCCAGTTGTGACTCCAACAAGTAGTCCCGAACGATTTACTGCAACAGAAGCTGGAACTTCATCTGTTTCAAGTTCTGATCCAGGAACTTCACCATTTCTACTGCCTCAAATAAATGGAGGCTTGAAGAAAGAGGAACCGTTAGCCACAAATGAAAATCGGGATCCTGATGAGTCTAGCTCAGACACAGACAGTGGAAAATTATCTCCATCTTCCTCAAGGTTAGGATTACAACCATGGATGGCAGACATTGTCACTTTACAGTGTCAATCAGCACAACATATGGAGCGAAGTTCACAGAGATCTAATAGCCGGGCTCAAGCTTCTACTATGAATGCCTTGCTAAAGAAGTTCTCAAAACTTGATCGAGAAGTTAGATTGGGGATGCTGAACTATAGACCCGAACAGAAATTCAATGGTAACATGAGAGAAGCTATCTATTTATCCAGAAATGCGCCTCCTGGCGGCCCCCCTCCCTTATGTTCAATATGTAAGCACAAGGCACCTGTATTTGGAAAACCCACAAGGTGGTTCACCTATGCTGAGCTGGAGCTTGCTACAGGAGGATTTGCACAAGCTAATTTCTTGGCTGAAGGAGGGTATGGATCTGTCCACAGAGGAGTCCTCCCAGATGGCCTGGCTGTTGCTGTCAAGCAACACAAACTGGCAAGTTCTCAGGGCGATCATGAATTTTGCTCCGAGGTGGAAGTCTTGAGCTGTGCCCAGCACCGGAATGTTGTATTGCTGATTGGATTCTGTACTGAGGATGGACGAAGGTTACTAGTTTATGAATACGTGTGCAATGGGTCATTGGATTCTCATCTTTACGGTAATTTCTCTTATCCCTCACGGATTCTCATGGTTGATAAATATGTAATGCTGTATTTCTTTTACACTGTATTCTCAATCAGTCAATGCATGTAGTTGTCATAGTAGAATCACACATTTCATGGATTTTAAAGTCAAATTTTATTAGCAGCTTAGATTTAAAACCTTGGAATATGAATGAGATGCATGTTTTTCAGGGGGTTCCTCGAGGAACCATCTCTTCGTGCCATGCAGTGAAACATAGGATTAGTGTGAAAGGGGTGCACGTTTTGTCTTGCTTAAATTAGGTGAAATTGGCAACACAGAAGATCTGCAGGATTTTGTTCAGTTAAATATGGGTTTGCTGCATATGACAAGTTCTCGCAATTCTCAGAGTTTGCTATTTTGATGTACGTTCGTCACATATGATAAGACTTTATAAAATTTGTTTCAGTTTATAACTAGCAAGTTTAATACATAATCTTATCAATGATCTGGTACTTTCAGGACACCACCAAGATCCATTGGAATGGTCTGCACGTCAAAAAATTGCTGTTGGAGCTGCTCGAGGGTTGAGATATCTTCATGAAGAATGCAGAGTGGGCTGCATTGTACACCGTGATATGAGGCCAAACAACATTCTCATCACCCGTGATTTTGAACCACTAGTAAGGCAATTTCCTAGCCATATATGTTTAAAAATTGCAGATCTTCTAAATATGTGGCTACAGTGTTTTGTCCTTTTTTAAGGCGATATGTATGGATGCCTGTACTTCTCTTCAAATGTGCATATCTTTTGAAAACTATTTCTTTATGTAAATTATAAAATACTTAAAAAAAAAAAAAATTGAAGTGCTTGACAACACAGGCCCATCCAACCTTCCATCAACCAGTAGTAAAATTGTGCACAGCAGTCCAGTATAAGTTGGAAGTCTTCATAAGAAGGGTTTTAGGAAGTTTCTTTCTGATTCTTTTTAGAAAACAAAATGCATAAGGACAAGAAATCTCATTTCAACAAATGCTAAGGAAACGTATATTTGCAATTAGGAGCCAAAAATGTTGGATTCAAGTGGGCAAAACATATTCCTGAAGGTTAAAGTAAAATCTGAAAAATGAATGGAATGTATGTTATCTTGGGCCCATATACTCCATTCCCAAAACCGACTTCCTTGACGATTTTTCAAAAACACTTCAAAAGTTCCAATAATGTTACTTGAGAATTACTTGATTTCACCATTGTGAGATTCTATCTACAACAAATGAAGTGTTGTTGCTTGGATGTATGTGTGGAACATTATTTTTTCGGTATTATATAGTGCATCAATGTTGTGGAGGTGGAGAGTCTTTCGAAGTGTTGGAAATCTAACTCCCAAGTCTTGATTTGCAAGGTCGGAGACTTTGGCCTTGCAAGGTGGCAGCCTGATGGAGACACAGGAGTGGAAACAAGAGTAATTGGAACATTCGGGTAAGTCTTTACGCGTTTGCTTTTGCTTCTGGTTGGACTATATCCATGCACGTACAAAATCAATGAAGTTATTCTGCTCCACCTAGATATTTGGCTCCAGAATACACACAAAGTGGCCAGATCACTGAAAAAGCTGATGTTTATTCTTTTGGGGTGGTATTGGTGGAGCTTGTTACTGGACGGAAAGCAGTGGACCTTAACCGGCCTAAGGGCCAGCAGTTCCTCACGGAATGGGTAAGTTCTAGAAAATCCTAATAATCCTTTGGAGTTGATGTGGTAGACGTAATACCCCCACAATTATGGTAAACACAACCTCTTGCACAAAATTAGTAGAAAATGATAAAGCTGAAGTCCACCGATTCCAGCTCCAACCTGTAGGTACTTCTTTGTCCTTGATTCCATTATGTCCTTTGATTTGGAGCAGGCTCGTCCACTGTTGGAAGACGATGCCATCAATGAGTTGGTTGACCCCCGACTAGAAAATCACTATTCAGAAAATGAGGTTTATTGTATGTTGCATGCTGCTTCTTTGTGTATTGGGCGAGATCCTCATTCCAGGCCTCGAATGTCTCAGGTAAGACTTATATTTCAAATAAAAAGTCTGTTTTAAAATGTTAGATCTATACAAAAGCACATGGGGGTATCTTATCGTTTAAACAGCTCAATTTTGGCTGCCATATTTGAGCAATAACTTTTGTAACTTTTTCAGACAGTTTCTGGCCAACGCTGGGCTGCAATATTTGAATGCATATCTTTAGGGTTCTTGCCTGAAGTATGTTAGTTAATTGATATGGTGATATTCCATACGTTTTCAATGAATAGGAATCCGCCTTCAAAGCACCAAAATTCCCACTTGGAAAGTCGCCCTTTTCAGAGTACTTAATATAGGAAACACTCCTGTTAATGGGTTACCGTAAACCTGCACAAAGTTTTCCTTTGAATTGGATCAATGCTGCCTTGCTCGTTCTTGAGGCATATTGTCCTTTCGATTTTTAGGCTAGGCATTTGCTTATTTGTTCAGTGTTTTTTGGTAATAGGTCCTGCGCATACTTGAAGGGGACATGATTACGGATTCGAGTTACACATCAACACCTGTGTATGATGTGGGCAGTAGATGTGTAAGGATCTGATCGGGAACAATGACAACGACAACATCAACATCGTGGTCTATTACTATACGAGCCATTGAAAGGGTTTAGTGGTAACTTACCACAGGTAAGCATTCACTTGGCATAATAAAGATCTAATGGTGTTTTGTAAAGAGTTCCCCTGCAATCAATTGTATGCCTAGTATGCTGAAGATGTAATCCACCTTTTAGTTGATCTCTTCAGTTTTGTCCAAAGCTATCGAACTGTATTCTGATTTTGGAAAGAAAATTTGTTTGGTCAGTTGTTTTTTGTTTTTATTTTTTGAAAATTGAGAACAAAACTTTAGACTAAAGCTATTTTGTTTTTTTTTGAGACAATCTTTTCAAAATTTAGAAAACACAACCACCACCCCCACCCCCCACCACACTTCCATCACCATCACCATCACCACCACCACCACCACCACCACACTCCCACCACCACCATGTCCACCACACTACATTTCCACCACTATCACATTTTTGTTTCATTGACTTTTGGGTTGCTATCCAAATAAGTTTCACAATGCTTAATTAATGTTTAGTAGTTCCCGGAGGAATGAACTGATGCACATAATGGTCTACTTGGTAGTTGCTACGGTCAGAGCTGATAATTTTAGAGGAAGAGTATGGTACCGAATTGGTACCTCATTGACATTTATAATTTTTTGAGGTTAAATAATACTTTTATGAAATAAAAATTACAATTAGAAAAGTAATTTAAGTGGAGTTATTTTTTTTAAAAGAGAAATTATAATTGACTAGTGTATTCATTAAATAATTGATCATAACATTTCATGTTGAGTATGAAATTATCTCAACCAGTTATAAATCCACTTTTAAAAAGTATAATTTGACCTAAAAAATAATTCCAAAAATTTAGATTTTTCAAAAATATATGATAAAAAATTTTAATTACTTGAGACTTTCAGTGTTAAAATAAAATCCATTTTTAACATACCCAGAAAAATTCTCAAATTAAATTGAAATAACATTTTTCATATTTGGTAAAAAGTATAATTTGACCTCAAAAATAATTCCAAAAATTTAGATTTTTCAAAAATATATTAGAAAAAAATTAAATTACTTGCGACTTTCAGTGTTAAATAGAATTCATTTTTAATCTAACATTACATACCCAGAAAAATTCTCAAATTAAATTAAAATAACATTTTTCATCTTTGGTGATACAATTTTGCAGACTTGAAAAACTGCAAAGAAACATCAATGATGGTAAATCTTGCTTGATATTTTTCAGGCACTGACCGGATTGGGCAACTTGCAGCAAAATTAAGCCCTCTGTTGCACAAAAACACACAAATTTTAAACAAGAAGCAATGATCATAAAAATGACACGAAACAATTAAAGATATAGCAGCAAAAACGGAGGAGCTCAATTCAGTGAAACCTACGTATGCGCTTCAATTGAATTCAAACGAAACCTACCCCCTTAGAAGAAGTAGCACCAGACAACAAACCACCAGTCCCAGCGGCCTTTTCATCCAAGAACAAGTCGTCAGTCTTCCTCAACGCCGCATGAATCAACACCAGCACCACTCCAATCAAGAGCGACGCCAATATGTTGGAAGTGGCGTGAGTCAACAACAGCAAAACGATTGTAACAACCGACAACACAATCAGCACCACACGATCGCCGATCGTACGGCCAAAAAGCACCAGCGGCTCATCACGAAGGAAATACAAAAACAACCAACCAACCATCATGATGATAAACACGATCAACGAGATCGGGTGCCAAAGAAGACTCAGAAGCAGAATAAATAGAACTACGATTGCGTAGTTCATGCTCAAGTACGCGATGTTTGTTCTGATCCGTCCGATTGCATCTTTGAAGCCCGACGGAAGGTTGATTGATCGGAGGTTGAACATCTCCTTCCATGGCCGACGTGTGGCTAGGCCCGATTTGAGTCTCTCTTTTGCGCGGGAAATGAATTCAACGTTAGTGCCTCCTGACGATGTCGGAATTGTGCCGTACGTTGTCATTTTCCGGTGAGCCTCCGGCGAATTTGGGAGTGATGAAAAACGACTCTACGCCTTGTTGGTGTTGGTGTTGGTGTTCGTGTTCGTGTTCGAACAAGATAGAATAATTAACGAGAGAAAAGCGGTGCATTAAAAGAAAGCACAGAACGAGTGTTCGTGTCTTATTGATTGAAAATCAGTAAATAAGTTTTAGTCCATTTAAAATCATTAATAATAAAAATAAAAATTACACTTGTCACATACTTATTGGTTAAAAAAAAGGGTTAATCTCATTTTACACCCAGAAAGATAGTTCGAATCTCAATTTACACCCTCAAAGATCAAAAATCTCAATTTATACTCTCAAAGATAGAAATTTGTATCAATGTGCACCCCCAAAGATCAAAAATCTCAATTTGTACCCTCAAAGATAGAAATTTATATCAATGTGCACCCCAAAGATAAAAAATCTCAATTTGTACTCTCAAATATAGAAATTTATATCATTATGCACCTAAAACTAAATTGATAAATTATACCTAGATCCTCTCATGTTTGTCACTTAATCATTTGGACCTCTTTACATTTAGAACATTACTCCTACATCTCATGACATTTATGCACGTACAACATGTAACTCATTTTCATTGATATCTGTTAATATAACCGTTAAAAAATATAATTTTATATTACCCTTATTTTATGGGTCCAATATACTCTAAAGTTCAAAATCAAGTTTACCATTTCAATGTCTAAAAAAATTATATAAATATCTACATTCTATTAGACATTCAAATAGTAAGCTTGATTTTAAACTTTAGAGTAAATCGAATCCACAAAATAAAGGGTAATATGAAATTATAATTTTTTTATTAGGATAAAATCATATTTTTTAACGATTATATTAATAGATATCAACGAAAAGTGATTATATTTACAAATGTACAAACGTCATGAGATGTAGGGGTAATATTCTAAATGTGAAGGGGTTCAAATGATTAAGTGACAAACATAAGGGGATCTAGGTATAATTTATCAATTTAGTTTTAGGTGCACATTAATACAGATTTCTATCTTTGAGGGTGTAAATTGAGATTTTTGATTTTTGGGGGGTACATTGATACAAATTTCTATCTTTGAGGGTACAAATTGAGATTTTTGATCTTTGAGGGTGTACATTGATACAATTTTCTATCTTTGAGGGTGTAAATTGAAATTTTTAATCTTTGAGGATATAAATTTAGATTCGAACGATCTTTCGAGGTACAAAATGAGATTAACCCTAAAAAAAAAAAGATATAATAACAAAAGGAAAATAGCTGCGCCCATATTGCTTTATCCTACAAGTTCTGACCCGACACGGACAGGCATGTATGAGCAGATTTAAATTTGAATTTAGAAAAATATAAAGGCTGACGGTGCCCAAAAAACCATTTCTAGAACAATCCCGGATTTAAAAATTAAATTTAATAATTACAATCAATAATTTTACTGTGAGTTCCAGTATTTATTAGAATCTACTACTTATTCAATGGATAAAATTATTGAATCTAATTTTTAAGTCCATCTAACATTACTTAAATTTCTACTATAATTTTATTTTAAATCTTATTACTTTGTTTGGTACAATAAAAAAAATGTATGATGAAAAATTAAAAAAATAAATAAAATATTATATTTGGTAAAAAAAAAAAAAGATGAATGAATTTTTCTTCCAAACTTACCAAAACCAATCTATCCAAAATTGAAAGAAAAATGAACAAAAAATTAATTATTTATGTTTAAATATATTTTATTTGTCTAGTTTGATATACACATATTATATATTCATTAATTTCATATATAAATATAATGATAAAATATTTATTTATATTTTTTTAAAAAAATTTTAAAATTTAAAATTTAAAAATACTATATATTCATTAATTTCATATATAAATAAAATGATAAAATATGTATTTATATTTTTTTTTAAATAAAATTTTTTTTTCCATCTTATCAAACACTAAAAAATTTAATTATTTTTATTTTTTATTCATCCTACCAGACACAAACAAAAGAAAATATATCGCTTTTAAAAATAAAAAATACACCCCTCTTATTTTTTATCTATTTTATTTTCCATAATTCCTACCAAATAAAGCATAATACTACCGTGGGTAACCACAGTCTAGTATCAAAAGTGATACATATTAAAATTCCAAAAGATTAGGTAATCACGAGTTCGAGTATTTGGGGTGCTAGTACAACTATTGTTAGTCCTATGACGGTCCTAGTGCCGGCTTGGCAACATGACAAAAAAAGAAGTTTTGGTACTGTAGAATGATTCGGGTCAACCAGCCCAAAGAAATACTTGCAAAATCTGCCTAGTCTAGTCTAGGTGGCTCCTTTACATCACCATTTGTTTTCCTTCTGTATTCCTTCCTCCACAGCCTGAGCACTGCACAAGTCTGACCTAGTAGAACCGTAAGTAAAGCTGGGCACAACCGTCGTAATTTCATCAATTGTATTACAATAGTGTTGAAAAAATTGCCAATATTAGATATATTGACATGATGATGGCTGTAGGGTTCAGTTTAACGGGGTTGATGAGGGGTGACGAACGGTAAATACACACAGGAAGTATGGTGTTGATTAAAATATGGTAGTTGTGTAGAGGATAAGATCACACCCAGCAACCAGCGTCATGGGGACGGCGCTGATGTGAAGACGTGAAGATACCAACGAGGCCGGACCACGTGGCTGGTTGGAAGCTCGGAGAAAAGCTGTCAAATGCAATTTTTAAAAGATATCTTTAATAATCTATGATTACCAAAACTGGCGTACTCAAAATAATGTGAATGTGAATGAATACCTCTTGCTAAGAGATTTATAATAATAAGCCAACGAGTAACTACCGAACAACAATAGTAGTTTGGGTCAATGAGCAGAGCAGCATGCAATAACAATATGCACATCGTGGTGAAAATATATGGGTACATTTATTTCCAAACAAACTAGTTACAATAAGACCTACAGAAAGATGTATACATTCCGGAAAAAGATCTCCTGAAGACTGAATATCTGTAATTAAACCAAGCCAAATACTTCATCTAATGGACAAAGTTTCAAAAATTGTAGCAAGAATGGCGATTTCATTAGCAGCACCCAAAATGCCTACACAAACTCAATTCATTATTGCAGAGTAGGGATGTGGAACCAAAGGAAAGTGATCTTTGTGATGAAATAACAAAAAAGATTTTATTCCGACAAGAAAACTTGCATTGTATACAATTATTGGTGTCAGCTGCAACAACTAACCCAATACCTAGGGAAATAAATTGCCATAAGCCGATCAAGTAGCTGAAAAGATCCATCAATTTTTCAATGGCACATTTCATTCCCCGAATTCTTTTTGAATTCTGCCAATCAAACCCACAGGCCATAGTTAATGGGCCATAAACACTCCAGCTTCTCAAGTGGAAGTACAGCCCATAGCTCTATCCATTGGGCAATTGGTCAAGAGTTACAGACATCCATCCTATAGCCTAGTAGACAGCCAAGCCGAAAAACCAACCCATGGGCCAATTGGCTTCATCCCCAGCCCTATTTCTAACTTGCCATTTTCCGCTCACTTGAATCACCGTGTTCGCCCTTTTATCCCAGCATACCATTTGGTCATATGCATTACATGTACAAAATACATTTTGACAATAATTTATTTGAAGCCAAAGCAAAATACAACTTTTAGCCACCAATGGAAGAAAGATTGAATCAACTTTAATCTTGTTATAATTTTAATTTATTGGATCGAAGCATTAGATTCAAATTCAGAAAGAGAGACAAGACACGAGATTTTCAACAAGACAGGCTACCACCCATCTCTCAGTGCTTCAAAGAACAACAGAAGATATTATCAGTCATGCTAGCAACAGCCATTTTGCCACAAGCCAGAAGCAGCACCAGAAACATTAAAGAGAAAAACAGATGTTCGGATAGATTTCTTCCACAAGGTAGGCATGGAATATAATCAGAAGATACTCTTGACAATCAATTAACTCAATTATGATTTCCAATAAGCAGTTGAAATCAACCAATCACCCAATCCAGATACAGACAGACAACAAAAATCAAATATAACCGACATTTCTACAACATTGCATGCAAAGGTAGGTGTATAGCATACGGGAGACCTTCCAAAAAATTAGCACATGGGAGAAGGAATATGTAAACAGTAAGTTTCCGATATAACAATTAGTGAGCCAGCATATATTCCAGTTCAACTAATGGTTGAACAGTTTCAATCCCATCAAGAGCCGCCAATTGGCAACCATTGTTCCTTTCTCCTATTATGAAGGCTTCACTGGCTGTTACCTTATCTAAATTTTTAATATAACAAGATATACCTGACTTTCTTTCCATAAGTTTACCCAACCTCTTACAGAGCAGCTAACAGCTTGCCATCTGCAAAATTTTGCATAAACAACTATTAGGAAACATCTCAATAATTTTGGTAACCAAGTAGTTAAATTTGTAAGATGCTAGATGGATAAATGTGCAACCAAAAATGACAATTGCAAATTTGCATGATAATTCACACAGATAATAACAACAAAAAAGAGCAAACAAACTGCTGCGTCTAACACAGGAGAACTGTATGTATAGTACTCATATTTCAAAGATAACATTACAAAATACCAAATGAGACAATAGGTTAAATCAATTAAACAAGTTAGCAAAACAAAAGTAGATTCCTGTATTGACATTCCATCATGTTAAGAAAGGCTTCAACTACTCCATCATTCCAGGTTACCAACCTCGAATATGGCCATGTTTCCATCTAACTTTTGTTCCAAACTCCTCTTATCCAGATTTGACGCGCATCAGATATCTGGGCAAACCCAACTTCCTGAGATAATGTAGGTGGTAAGTGGAAGAAAGTGGATCCAGTGTGACCTTGGTTTGATTCCTCCATTGATAGCGTAATTCCTTTTTTTTCCTAAAGAAAAGTTTCAAAAAACATAACCATACTGCTGCATTATGAAACTATTTTACCTTCATTATAACATCAAAAGCCGTCACTAATGAGCAAAACATCTCAAGATGACGAGACTAATACAAAACAGCCAATCCCCAACGCCAGTGCCTACTTTATTCCCTCTCCTCCTAAAACAATGCTGCTGAAAACTAATAATACACGACATAGAACGAAGAAAACCAACATCAGTCTCCCCATAAACCCAAACCAACAAGAAACTGAAAAAGACTTCGGTTGCCCATCTACTCCAAAATCCAAATAAAAAATTCCATCATAAACAATAAGCTGGAACACAGAATAGAGAACGACGGATAATCTACCACTTCATACACCATGATTAACTAAACCTCCTTTCAGCAACATGGGAACAAAATTCACGTTCTCTAACGCTTGTCACAATTCAACAATCACTTGGTGGCTCCAACAAAACATTAATCCAATTTAAGTGCTGCAATATGTACAGCAACCCATTAATAACTGGCATATGCAGGCACAGACGATGTCGTCCATTGTGCATCCAGCTGTCTAGTGACTCATCCAACATCATTTCTCCCAAAAAGTGAGACGAAATTACCAAGATTATCTTTGATAACATCTAAGCCTGATCCCACCATAGGTAAGCTGTAAGCAAGCAAGGAGTTTTTACACACCCTATACAATTCCCACTAATTTCACCATTCCAAACAAACCATTTCCAAGATACAATATACAGAACACTAATTATCTGATAGTCCAACAATGAGGCAACCCAAAAAGCTCTTATTTATCCTCAAGGATCATATAGCTGCTACTGAATTTGTACTCCTCAGTACAACTGCTAACAGATATACCACACGCAGGAAATCCAACTGAAACTATGCAGCAATAATTTTTCGCAACAGCACCACCATCTTGTTTTGTGGCATCTTACCCCCAAAACCCCCTCTTGATGGTAGGAATCTCTTGGCACCTATACCACCTTTATTGTGAAGTGATCAGCCAATAAATGCAAACCAAAAAAAAAAATGAAAACTAGAATATCAAACATATCTAGACTATTCAATCATAGTGCACAGTGAGCATATAAAGGACAACGTCTAACTAGAAAAACAGAAATTGAGAGATGGCTAGAAGCAATTTCCCAGGTATGCACACACGCAGAGAGAGAGAGAGTTCCACATCTAGGTTTTGCAATTAACAGGCACCTAATAGATTTACAAACAGATAAGCATATCAAGAACAAATTCTAGCTTGAAGAATTGTATACATAGATTTTAACACCAATTATATTATACCCACAAAACAGAATAGAATACTTGCCTATGAGGTTCAGATCAGAAGCCAGAACTTCATCACATGGCACGCCCACCATCCTTCCTTCAGATGTCCCAGGCCCATTTTAACGCTCTAAGGAGCAACTCTTTTACCATGAAGGAAGCTGGAGTAACTTGACTACTGAATGGCATTGCAGGACAACATATCAAATGAAGAATTAAATAGAATTCGCACCAAAACAAGCGACGCAGGATACCGCATAACCAAAGTCTAAACGGGTGAAAGTATATCAGAAAGGACATGGGAAACTCTTCAATCAAATATCCCAAGTAGTTCAGTTTGGGATGTCACTGCTTGACCTCTGCATATGCTTAATGCGTGTAAGCCATCTTATGCAAACACCCTTATAGAGGCTAACCAAACACATGTACTACATGCTATCTCCATTATGCATCCCTGAGGTGTAATATCAGATGGATCCACCTAACCAAACGGCAAGGAAGACGACCAAGCATGCCAGTCCTATTTCAAGTAAACAAACTTGAAAGCAATCATACAGCCTCAAATCCTCTTTCCAGTTTCCAATAAACCAGCTTTTTCACCAAGGCCATAAACCAATCTAAATGGCATTATTCAACCAAAATAGTTATATGCATCATGCACAAGACAACTCATAGCTCAACCAAAATTCTGCAGACCTTTTGTGCATGTTGCATTCCACATCTACAAAACAACTGGCTTCACAATTAAGCCCATCATTCACCAAGTAACAATACTAGAAGTTTAGCCAAGACTTCAAAAGACATGGACAACAAACATAGTCGAAAAACACAGAATTTCATTTCTCCTACAAATTGGCCACTACAGCACTCACCACTTAAAATGCAACTGCTTCACAAACAGTAATGCAATAAACCGTCATCCTAAATCCACAGGTTCAACGTGTAGCAGTGTAAGAGATGACACACACACTAAATTTCTAAAGACGCCAGAACTGGTTGCAGTAATATCTTAACACATCAGCTCAGTGCTGCAGATCAGACACAAGCAAAAGAAACCATAGAATTACCACTCTTCTTGGAAACTTCAACCAACTATGAAAACCAGATGCCTTACAGCTCCGCAGAATATCTCTCACCACTAAAAATTGAAATGTTAAAAAAAAACTCCCTACTCTAATGGTACTTCGACAGAAGATTCAGTACCAATGGTTGTTAAAGATACTTGCTGGCAACTCCTACAACTTTTCTTTGAAAACAGATGTGAGAAAAGCAATTGCTTGGGTACCCAAGGAATAGCAGCACTCCAATTTGAAGAAGAGTGTCCAAAGCTAAGAAATTTCCTACTTATCATGATAACACATATATTTCCACTAACATCTTCCAAGAAACAGCCTCAAATCCAAAGTAAAAAGAACTTTTAAGCCATAAAACTGAATTGTCACATTCAATAACTATAGCACCCCAGACATAGCTGACGCCATTCACAAAAAAAAAAAAACTACACAAACTCCAATTACGCAACACTTATCAAGAACCAGCATTAGCTGCAAATGCAGCAATAATTTCACCATCAATGCATGGGAACTGCTTCACCAACAATCGGCAATTATACATGGATACCTCAAACCCATGCAACTCAATCTAGATATTATATCTCAAAAACCCTAGTCTTTAAAAGACTTTTTAAGTTGATGGAATTAAGATGTTGAAACTCACCACTCAAAACCAATCAGCTTCCATGAGAAACTATAACATGTAGTTAATCAAGCAACTATAGCCAGTAGCCACTATAAATTGCAAAATACAAGAAAACTAAAAATGGTGCGACCTAAAATATAACTGGAAATATGAATGCAGAATATTTCAAACTACTAAGTCATAAACTTAAGCATCAGTTAAAGCAACGCCAAAGCAAAGTAACCTTAATCTCCCTATACAAGTCAGTAAAGATAATAAATAACATTCAAATAAGAGACTACTGATAAGGTACGCACACATAGAAGAATCAGACTCTTCTAGTCCATTTCTATATTGGATAGCAGGCGAACAAGAACAGAGGTCCGCCTTTTTTTCAGGACAAACAACACGCCATCCAGGTCTCAGCGACGAGTCATGCGAGGTTTCTCGAGTCCTCCCCATGAAGCAGAACCGTGACCATACAGAGGACCCTTGTCAGCAGCACCCTGAGAAAAAGCCATAAAAATTAAACCTAGAAAATAAGACTGAACCATATATTTTGTGTCTAATAATGACTCAAAACAAAAATAAGCAACCATACCATATGAGCTCCATATCCATCTCCATAAGGAGTGGGGAAACCCCCCTCTGGGCTGTTGAATTTCATCCCATATGGTCCACCTTTAGCAACCAAATATTGAGAAGAACAAAATTAGAAGCAAAAAATAACAATAATCAAAAAATAATAATGTTAAGAGCGTCCTATATTAGGTGCGCTGTATGGCACAATCGCCAACTGATTCTAACACACTGACCAAGCTAAGCAAAATTAGTGACATTTGCTTGCTAGAAACACAGCATCATATGATGAAAAAAACAAAAAATTGGAATACTCAGCAGATTCATTATGCCTAGACGAGGAGAGGACCGGTTCTCCGATTTCATGGGGAACATGTCCAAAAAAACCAGCGTATGGCATTTTTACCTGGTTCAGCGATTCCCCATCCTACCCCCAATGGGATGAATTTGAAAAGGAATTCATAGGGCTTCAGGGGAGGTTTGGCGTGAGAAACTGAAAACCCATTTTGGGTTCAGTTTAGGGATTGCACCCTGCCGTGCCATATTTCATGGGGAACATGTCCAAAAAACTAGCGTATGGCAATTTTACCAGGTTCAGCAATTCACCATCCTACCCCCAATGGGATGAATTTGAAAAGGTTTTCATAGGTCTTTAGGTAAGGTTTGGCGTGAGAAACTCAAAACCCATTTTTGGTTCAGTTTAGGGATTTCACCTTACCGTGCCATGTTTCTAGAAAAATATTATATTATTCAGATACACCCAATTATGATAAAGTGACCACAAATCCTGCTATATATGTACACATAGGGTTTGGTCATACATATATATGCATTCACTCCAAAAGGCTGCCACCGCTCACCATGGTATGCTGTGGTTGTCGCACTCGATGATTTCAACTGGAGATACTTTAAAAGTTATTTTATGAACCGTTAAAAAAAGCTTTTCTTAAGTATTTTTTTTAAGCAAACAAGTAAATTCAAAAAAGAAATGCATAATTGGTTATTATCTGAAAATAATAATTTATGTGTATGTCAGTTTAAAAATGAGACAGTTATATAGGTATACATGTATTCTACTACACTTGCAATTAAGTTTGCACTTTGAAGGAAGAGAGCAAATCCAAGCAATGACAAAACAAAAATGCACAACAATCCCTATTTAACAAATAATATTTAAAAAAAAAAAAAGGAAAAAAGCACTTTAAAAAAGTTTTATCTAACAGTACCTTTGCTAGTGCATTTAGATCTGGGAACAGATCTGATTGATGTCCATTTATTTTTCCCAGATTTCCTTTTATAATATTAAGATCAAACCTTTTATAATATTAACATGAAACATGTCTCTCTTTTAATCTCATTCTAGTAAGATAGTTTTAGAAATCTATTCTCCCCATTATAAGCAAGTGAGGTGGGCAGGGACATTGGTTGGGGTTGGAAGAGTCTATGGGGACAGAGGCTGGGGCTGAGGTATAGACCCATCAGGGATATGGGGCAGGGCCGAAGTGGGGTTTCTTTTCGCAGAAAGGGACAGGATAGAGATTCCCCGTCCTATAAACCCCCTATCCCCTCTATCGCTACCCCTAAAAATACTCTGTTACTATCAAACCACTGGTAACTCTTTAATATGAGTTAAGACTAGTAATAATTCTCATTTCTAGTAGGGATACATGTCAACACTTTCTATTAGTTGAAGGTACTCTCAAAGAAAAGATAGAAGCAATAAATTTAGGAGACATTTCCTTGAATGAGGCCGGCAATTCAAGTTTGAGATTCAAACATATTGGATAAGTCAAGAGTGGCCTTCAAATCCTATCCCAAATCAATTGAGCATCAAAACCAATGGCATCACCCAATTCTGGTCTCAGACCTCCCAATATAAAGCTCATGACCAAGAGTGTGAATAGCAGAAAATTGAGGTACCTGAGCCTGCAACTAGACAAAGAGCCCCGATTTTTATTTTTTTTGATAGCAAACAAAGCAATTTTATTGATTTAAAATGATGACAAAACAAAAAAAATGATACATCAAAAAGCACTATGGATGGGCAAGACGTCCAACCATGAAGTGAAAAATACAAATCTCAATTCATAAAATTATGTATCACAGGAGGCCTTCCAATCCGCTAAAATACAAAAAGCGGAATGCTAGCAACTCCTTCGTAACGGAAACCTACAGGCCACAACAATGTTAAAAAATGGATATGATCCCATAAACCTTCCTTCCATTCTCCTCTATTCTCAAAAAATCCTGGACTTCCCTTCCAACCAAATTAACCTTAACCATATGATGGCAAGAAAAGCACAATGCCATAGAGTCATTGCTTTATTATGTCATCCTAACCCCTCAAATTCCTCCATCAGCATTGTTGACAATGTCCTAAGAATCACCCAATTCAAACCTTGAGGACCAAGTAGATGATAATGCTTTTTTTCAATCACATGGATCGAAGAGCAAAAAAATCACGAGGACAATCCAACGAATCTCGTGTTTTCCAAACTAAGAAGAAATTCTGAGTTTCACAGTACAAGTTGACCAAAAAAATATCTAATTACACACTGCTCACTGTTTAATTTTCCAAAGATAATAAAGAGCCATAACTCAAGCAAGTTGAGAAGGTGAACAATCTTCAATAGTTAGCCAAGAAATAAATAATAGGGGGATAATCATGTTATTAAAAAATGAACAGTCTTCAATAGTTCATACGTTTATTCATCCTTTGCATATGAGTGGCAACGCATGAAAGATAAGAAAATAAAATTAAGATATAAAGTAGAGTTAGATATCATGATTGAGTCAGGTGTGACAAGCATATATGAATATGACTATATAAGTCAAATTTAAGATAATTCAAGATGTAGGAGTTGAAGGACGAAAGAGTATTCATGAAGGGCTAAGTTTAAGCTCACAAAAGAACCTTTATAACATATATGACCCTAGGTACAGAGGAATGAAAAATAAACTTATACAGCCAACCCCACGCAGTTGTCGCTTTCGGTCAATTAAAATCTATGATGCTCATACTTAAAGAAGAAAAAGATAATGAATTCTCAAACTTTATTTAATGTGTACAATTTACATCTCATACAGCAAATAAAGGAGGCAATAGATCAGATATCATATTATCCCAGCTCCAAAATAGCTATGCAAAAGTAGAACCTCTCAAACACTGGTAAATGGAAAAGAAAGAGAAGTAAATATACCAGCACCCCATGGTCTACCCTCAGAATTTGCAAGTTCAGCACGTAGCTTTTCAACTTCCCGTGCCATGGAAACCAAGTTCTTCTCCATTGCCTGTCTCTGTTCCATCAGCTCAATATTTGCCTTCTTTTCATAGTCAATAGCATTTCTACAAGACAATGTATAGCACTTTATATAGAAGCTCCATTATAAGTTATAGCCACACAGCTCTTTTAACAATTTGAAGAATGCACTAGATATGAGTTTCACACACAATAAAGTAAATGAAGGGCAAGAAAAACCTCGCACGCATAAGCTCCTGGTGCATTCCATCAATCTCTGCTCTTAAAAGCGGAATCTGCTTGTTATCAGCTTGCAGTTTTGCAAGGTCTTGCGTGAGGGTCTGAACTTGCCCAGATAGATCCTGCTTAAAGGTATTCAGCCTCTGAACTTCAGCACGGAGTTGTGTAGCCTCATTTTTCAAAGGCTCTGTAGCACGAAGATCAGCTTCCAGCTTCAAACCTCTTTCAATAAGTTCCCTCGAATGCAGTTCTTGTTCCGCACGCATATCAGCAATGGCCATATTCATCCGATGAAGTTCCTCCCTAGTAACACCTAATTCTCGTTGCAGAGCTATTCGATCTTCAACCAGCCTCCGATTTTCACCCAAAAGCCTCCGAATTTCAACATGTTGTATTTCAAGTTCTTCTTCCAACAAAGCAGGATGAGGCGGCACTGGTCGAGGCAATGGACCCCGAACAAGAGGTCCTTCTGGGGGATAGCCGCGTCGGTTATCAAACGCCTCACGAGGAATGCGGTTTCTGCCTGCCATCTGGAGTTGCCCTAAAAAACTAAACAACAAAGAGTGAAATGACATCAATACGATATAACACTCGGTATTAATTTCCCATAATTGAAGTATCAATCAATGTCCCCTAAGCAAGGGCGGAGTGTGAAATGCTGTTAAGCTTTTACGGAATTACTATACACACGTGAAATTGAACATCCCATCGATATCAAATTACTCCAGCTGTACATTATACGTAGACATCTTCAGAAATCCGTTACATAAAGGGGCCATTTTAGGTAATAGAAGCGGCCAAAAGAAGCATCATTTGATCAAGATGCAAGACCAGTAATATTCCATCAATTATCCCAACGGCAACCAACTATCACTTGCCAGCCAATAAACAATAAATGTTTTACACCATAAAGTTATATATAAAAAACAACAAAACTATGAATTTATTCAAAAAAGTTGGATTTCCAGTCTGCTTGTGCATTACACATTAATCATACGACCATAAACTACCATTAAACTTCCAAAAATCAGCTATATCACTATTATTTGAAGTCATAATAGCAAGCAGTAAATACTCCACACGGCAGGGGATGTGTAGCAGAAACCCAAGACTTCGAGTAAAAACGAAAAAATCATAGCATTCAAATCTGGAAAAAAATTCTATCACTTAGGTTTCTAAGTAGAATTCTAAAATTCCCATTTTAAGACTCGAAAAAGTATTAATTCTCTATCAACAGCTCTAATTATAAGTATGTGAATAATCTTGTATCAATACGGACAAAGAGACTGTTTATGTTTCTTTACCTTTGTTACCTCAGCATCAAAATACAAACAAAAAATCTCCGTTTGGAAACCTAGAAATCTATGAGAAAAAATAACTCCGAAATTTAGGTTTTATAATTTTTTTGCTGGGAAAATTTAGGCTTCATAATTACATGTGAATGAGAAAACTAAAAATCGATCCAAAAGAACCGAAAATCCAAGATCCAACACTTCCGATTCATTTCTTTCTCCTTTTCCCGGATTTTCTCGACAACCAAACGGTGGTAAAGGACAATCGTAGAAACCCTAATTTGCTTCTGTACACGAAACAGTAGTCGAGGATTACAGAATGAAAACCCTAATTTTATCAATTTTCTTAGATGATAAAAAATATATGACGAAATGGAATTATAATTCGAACCTTTTGGAGGAGCTGATAGAGATTAACGAGTCTGAGCCTTTTTTGAGGGGCTCTGGAGAGGACGCTCTCTCAGATATTGTAAGATGTTTGGAGGAAAAAACCTAGTTGCGCTTTATACGGAATGACAAGTAAAGTGGCCTCTGGAGCAAAATTACAGAGTGTGATCAGTTAAAATTAAAATTATTTTATTTGTTACCCACATATTTTCCAAAGCTTTATTTATTAACCCAAACTTAAAATTATATCAATCTGTCTTTTAGTCGGATTGGAATTTTGATTCAAGTAAAGAAAGCGTATGCTTATTATTTATGGTTCTAGAACTAGTAATCTTAGCAAATACAATTGTAATTTGATACAATTCAATCGAATTTTTTTTTAGGTAACTATTTGATGAGACGTGTTCTTGTATAAAGTTAGTCTTTAATTTTTGTACTATATTTTACATTCATATAATTTTTTATTTTAATGTTTTTTTTGATAATTTATTAAGGACTTATGGTTATTTTGATACTATAATCATCTCAATTAGTTAAGTGTATTTGTGTAATACTATATATGATCGCCTTAACTTAAAAAATGAAAACTTTCATTTTGCTTTGATTATCACTAAAAATTATTATTTACAGTGATACAGTGATTTTATAAAGAGATTGTGTTTTCATATAATATCATGTTTGCATTTCAGGCTATATTATTTTCTTAATAAATGAAAAAAAAAAATCTAAAAGTGTAACTTTCTAGATTTGTATAGGCCTTTTGTTATTACTAGTTGGTATACACGTGCGCTGCATGTAAATTATTTCAAATTAGAATTTTGTTTTTTTTTAAGAGAAACAACTCGTAAACTTTTTATCAAAATTAGTTTGATACTCTTAAACTTCAAGGAAAAAAATTAAATATTTTTTTTCAATTTATTTTATTTCCTATCATCTAAAGAACAAAATGGGTTTCTAATTTAAATTAAGAGGTTGTCAAGACTCTACGGGCAACCCATTGGCAAATAGTTTTTCTTCATTTTTTCCACTAACTTGATCAAGTGTAGTGCAGGGTGGCCGAAGTTATTTCGTCCTCCCAACCAACCTGTTTAGATTTTTTTCCCACTTCACTATTATAGTCTTTACACTTTGAGATAGTAAGTGAGCAAAATTGAGACTAACGACAAACCAAAAAAATTTACCTCTTCAAATTATGAGGAGTGAGTACATGAGCATGTCTAATGGTTATATTAGATTAGACAAAATAATAAATAACTATATAAAACTTATGTTGTCTTAGTATACAAGATTTGCACATCTTAATAGATACCAGTATTCATATGTTTTGATAAATTATTTATCTGGTTGTTCATATGTTATTGAGAACCTATATTTATATTGATCAAAGCCACTAAACTTGCCCAATTCGTCCAACATTTCAAAATAAACAAAAAATAGTGAAATTGAACAAAATTATCCAAAATTTGGTCATATCTCATGTCAAATCCTTGTCTTCATATGTGATCCATCGTCTGCCACTCTTAGATATTGAGTTTTTTCATTGTCAAAATGAACAAACTTGAATTAAAATCATAAAATAAAGGGAACATACACAGACTATAAAAATAAACAAAAAAATGTGAGATTAATTGGTTGGTGAAAAGAGAAAAAAATCAAATAATTCACATAATTATAAAACTTAACAACTATAGGAGTTTTTAGGCTTTCGTATTTCGTTTTTTTACAAAAGAAGAGATAATGTGTATGAAACAAAAATGTTCAAACCGACTAATCAATATTAAATTAAAATTTGAAAGATCAAAAAGTAAATGAGACAAAGTTGAAGCTATTACAGTATGTGTTGGAGGAAGGATTAAAAATCCAATTATTTGAAGGTAAAAAAGTGACTTTTTATATATTATTATTTGAACAATTGTGTACAAGTATATCAATGAATCAATAAAAAATTAAGTGGCAATGAAGTGGTTACAAAAATAAAATTACTTAGTGGTTGTATTATAAACTAAATGGTTTGCGAAAAGAATTTANTAAATTATTTCAAATTAGAATTTTGTTTTTTTTTAAGAGAAACAACTCGTAAACTTTTTATCAAAATTAGTTTGATACTCTTAAACTTCAAGGAAAAAAATTAAATATTTTTTTTCAATTTATTTTATTTCCTATCATCTAAAGAACAAAATGGGTTTCTAATTTAAATTAAGAGGTTGTCAAGACTCTACGGGCAACCCATTGGCAAATAGTTTTTCTTCATTTTTTCCACTAACTTGATCAAGTGTAGTGCAGGGTGGCCGAAGTTATTTCGTCCTCCCAACCAACCTGTTTAGATTTTTTTCCCACTTCACTATTATAGTCTTTACACTTTGAGATAGTAAGTGAGCAAAATTGAGACTAACGACAAACCAAAAAAATTTACCTCTTCAAATTATGAGGAGTGAGTACATGAGCATGTCTAATGGTTATATTAGATTAGACAAAATAATAAATAACTATATAAAACTTATGTTGTCTTAGTATACAAGATTTGCACATCTTAATAGATACCAGTATTCATATGTTTTGATAAATTATTTATCTGGTTGTTCATATGTTATTGAGAACCTATATTTATATTGATCAAAGCCACTAAACTTGCCCAATTCGTCCAACATTTCAAAATAAACAAAAAATAGTGAAATTGAACAAAATTATCCAAAATTTGGTCATATCTCATGTCAAATCCTTGTCTTCATATGTGATCCATCGTCTGCCACTCTTAGATATTGAGTTTTTTCATTGTCAAAATGAACAAACTTGAATTAAAATCATAAAATAAAGGGAACATACACAGACTATAAAAATAAACAAAAAAATGTGAGATTAATTGGTTGGTGAAAAGAGAAAAAAATCAAATAATTCACATAATTATAAAACTTAACAACTATAGGAGTTTTTAGGCTTTCGTATTTCGTTTTTTTACAAAAGAAGAGATAATGTGTATGAAACAAAAATGTTCAAACCGACTAATCAATATTAAATTAAAATTTGAAAGATCAAAAAGTAAATGAGACAAAGTTGAAGCTATTACAGTATGTGTTGGAGGAAGGATTAAAAATCCAATTATTTGAAGGTAAAAAAGTGACTTTTTATATATTATTATTTGAACAATTGTGTACAAGTATATCAATGAATCAATAAAAAATTAAGTGGCAATGAAGTGGTTACAAAAATAAAATTACTTAGTGGTTGTATTATAAACTAAATGGTTTGCGAAAAGAATTTAGGAGAGAAAGAGAGTTATCAACATGTGAAATAAATAAATGTACACTATAAAGAATAATAATTTGTGTAGAAGTGAAAGTATATGAAGGGTCATTTCATTTGGATATTTAATTAATATTTGATAATTAAATACTTAAAGATATAATTGATTTTAACATTTTTAATAGGGATATAATAGTCAATCAAAAATTTTTCACTTAACTTCCTTTTATTACTAGTATAGATATAGATAGCTATTGATTTCTTTTGATTCTTCCACTTTCAATCCAATTGAAAATTTTCATCAATATAGGGTATCTTGAACTAAAAAGCAATTTATGATATAAAAATAGAAAGTTTGTACGGTGTCTAGTAACACAAGTAAATATTGAATGCAACAGTGATATTATGTCATTATTGATAATATAGTATCACCAATCAATAATAAAATCTCAAATGGGTAAGGTGAACCTCATTTAAGCTTACATGAAAGAAGAGTAAGAAATTATTTGCTTATATGACAGATTAATTATTAATTTTTGCGGGTCTATTTGTTTATTTAGGATTTTATTATTAGTTAATGATATCATATCACATTGTCACGTGATATTATCATTGTAATGAATATTTTCTCATGGGGCAGAGCCACATTATTTATTTTTTGGTGTGGGGGGGGGGGAGAGGGGGAATTTTCCAATAAGCTTATATATGTAGTATGAATTATGAAACCATCATAGTTTTGTCTAATTCAACATGTGGGCCATTTACTTTATAAAATTTTTTTGCAAGAAAGGAATTCTTTTAGGCTCAAAGATTTTCTTGCCACATATGTTCTAAATTGTTATGACCAGGCCCAATAAAGTAATTGATATGGGCTCAAATATATCTTATTGTCATTCGGTCCAGCCCATACTAAAGAAATTATTTCATGTGCAATAAACTGCCAGGCTTGTTAGAAGTCGCCCGGCCCAGTTTATTTCCCAAGTTGCCCAGCCCATATTAAAGAAATTTTCCATTGAAAAAAATGTTGAGTCTCACAGTTGCGTTGATACAGTGTAATCGTCCAATAACTTATATATATACTACTGTTGAAAGATAGTTAAGTGAAAAAAAAATTATTTTCAAATATTCCCTTGATTATTATTATTAAGTTTATTTAATTCCTAATCCAATAATTAGTATAATTATAATCAATTTAAGTTTTTAATTATACATATTTGTGGACTAAATTTCTGACTGACATATGGATTAATTATCAATTAAGCTTGGATCCCTTCATAGACTCTTCAAATTTTAAGAATTAATTTTCAACCAACTAGACCTCTTTATATTCTCCATTCTTTTACACCACAAACCGATACAAACTCTATGAATTATTTTCCATCAATGATCAATGCATTAGATATTAATTGGAGGCCCTTCGTTCAAACATTAATATTGTTTGCCTTTTAAGTCCATTTTATTATTTTTTTTAAAAAAAATTATGTTGAAGGGAGGGCGTTCTAAAAGAATATGAATCTTGACCATTTCGCTATGAATGCTTATTAAAGTTGTGGATTTTGTAAGAAGAAAAGTGATCAACAACTTTAATATATAACATTTCATACACAAAAAGGTATGCATGAAACGTACGCGAGCAACAAGAGAATAAAAGAATAAGTGAATTTTAACTCCATTAATTAACTACACATCTATGTAATGCAATAACTATCAAAGGTATGCAAATAGGGTAGACTTTGCCTGTTTGATTTTTTTTTTCTATTGGATAGTGACACCACGTGACAGTAATAACGTGTTGTCACTATTATATTAAATATTTCGTGAGACATGACCTAAGGTGGTTGATTTGGGCATAAGCTGATAATAATTCCATTGCCCAAAAATCAAGTTTAGGTTGGGTTTCTATTAGTTATTTACTTATTTTAGCAATGCAACCGACATTCTTTCCTTTTCTTTTTATTTTTTTTTTTGTTTTCTACCCCTTTATTTTCGTGTGGGCAGGGGGCGAAAATGAAGGTTAAACTTGTGGACCACTGTACCCTTTGATGGTATAGTTTCCACTTCCAGTGTCTTTAAATTTTTGATAATTATTCTACCGAAGTAATCTATAAGCATTTTTAACGTAGAAGTGACACATTGATGAATGTGCATGTGTATTACTGCCCATTGTACATATAGCTAGGGGAAAGAATACAAACCTGACAAGAGGGGAAAAGGCAAAGTAAAAGTCAAACATTTGTTAAAGCAATGTTACAAATAAAAATTAGGGTTAATTGTATTGGAGGTCTATAAAGTATAGGGTTTGACTCATTTTAGTCATTAATATTTCAAGTGTATCATTTTGATTCCTGAAGTATTGAATATCTATATAATAAAACAGGAGTGTGTTTGAATTTTATCCCAGTCATATTTTTTCCCTCAAAACCATATCAATCACTTACTTCACTCATCATCTCTTTGTCAAAATCAAACGTCAAATCACATCACTCATTTCTATTACATATTTAATTATTTATATATTTTTTTCCTAAAAATATCACACCATTCATTTTTATCATATATTTAATCATTTAATATTTAATTAATTTGTAGTTAATATATTTTGGAAAAATTTAATATAATGGGATCGATTTTTTGGATGCTCGAATTTTATATTTTATCGTGTCTTCAGGCATGGGTTATGACTAGTGTTTATATATGGTCCGTCAAGCATACAAGGTCCAAATTACTAATGATTTTTTTATCATAAACTTGTTATGTAATACCTAAATATAGATAAAAAAAAAATAATTTTGATAGCTATTAAATAAAATTTGGGTAACTCTTGATAGAAAAATATATAATATGGATAGCTTTTGACCAAAATTTGGATAGTTCACGATCAAAATTGTGTAATTTAGGTAGCTATTTAACCAAAATTTAAATAAAAATTTGGTCAAGAATTATCCAAATTATTTTTTTGTTCATATTTATGCATCACGTGACAAATTTATGATAAAAAATCATTAACAACTTGGACACTATCACCTGTCTGCTTGAAGAACCATATAAAAATATATTCAATACTATTAAGAGACCGAAATGCTGCAATTGAAATATTGAGGACTAAAATGAAACAAATTTTACACTTTGAACACTTTCGGCACAATTAACCCTAAAAATTATTATCAAACTATACATTAACATCGATTACTAGAATATTCGCATCTCCACATCCTCTCTAATTTGAAGCCAATTAAAGAAAGAGAAAGCTTCTGAATATCAAATTCTTAATTCAATTTTTTTTTTATGCTCAGTTATAAGAATTATATTCCATCATTATCTTCTACTAAGAATACAGACTCATGAAGCTCCAAAAACTGATGGTGACCATTCCAATCCAAGATTTAATCACCTATAACACAATTCAATTCTCATACAACTTGTTCTCTCAATGTCATTGTTCATAAGGGACCCATGTAACACAATCATTGTCTTATACCCACCACTAACCTAACAAAAGAAGCTCTACTTTCTCACCTTTTATTGTAGTAATACAGACCGATTATAACAGGTGAAAAAAAGTGGAAAGAAGAAGAATCATCAGTGAGAAAATCATGGGGACCCACAAAAAATATGTGCCTATATTGTCTACATATGTATGTGCAATTATATGTAAGAATAGGACAAATGTGTCAACTTTTGATGATGCCTACCACACGTGTGTCTCTGTGGCCATCTTTATCTTCAATCTTTTCCCTTGTCTTTTCGTGTTGTTTGGTTTTGTGGCAGTGCATGGGAAATTCTTCGGAGCTCATTTGGCATTGTCTTTAAGAGTCTCTTCTCCTTTTGACCCAAACAGGCATTCTTTTCTTCATTCTTACAGTGGGGAAGTTGACAATGGAATCTTCCTCTGCCACCCACCTACATGTAATCAGCAAAGTTCGTGAACTAAAATTACAATTTCAATCACGTATTTTTTGAATTTATAGTTACGACATAAATTCAATGTTATCTTCAGACCATGCAAATCGATTGAACTCGAGTTCTCTAAGATCACGAGACTTGAACTATCTTCTACCAAGAATTAACTCAGTTGATGATAAACATCTAAATGTCTAAGATTACATCAATCAAATTAGGGTTGGAGTTATAAGACTTCGAGAAATTAAACATTTAGAGATAATCTTATCTCCATGTTGGATATCCAAGTAGAACCCTAGGCTTGTTTTCTCTTTTTTGGGCTAGCTTATACCATTCAAATTAGGGCTGGAGCTACAAGACTTCAAGAAATTAAACATTTAGAGATAATCTGATCTCCATATTGGATATCCTAGTAGAACCCTAGGTTTGTTTTCTCTTTTTTGGGCTAGCTGGCATGACAGATATGGGGATTCAGAATAGGAGCAAAAGTATATAGGGGCTAGCAGCATTATAAATGATGCGGCCAACTAAATATTATCGATATAACATTCCATGGCTACTAGATGAACACACAATCCAACAGATTTGTCATGTGGGAATGTATGTTAATTAGATGCCTTTAACTGGTCAAGTATTAATGAACTAATAATGATTTCCGAACTACTCCCTCCGTTCCTAAATATCTTTCATTTAAGGTTTTTACACAAAGATTAAAGAAGTTATTAAATAACTCTAATATGAATAAAAAATAATTGCACAAGACTAAAATATCCTTATTCAATACGTATTGTGAAGGAAAAGAATATGAACGGCACTTAGCCTCCACCAAATCTAATGCATTGAAAAATTAAGGGTAAATTTGGAAGAAGAAATATTAATTATGCTTTGGTTTCATTAAACGACAGATATTATGGAACAAAAAAAATTGTGTAAAAACGACAGATATTTAGAAACGGAGGGAAATTTTTTTTCATATCAACCAATCTGGCATAATCATCATCATTGGATATTTAATAAAATTTATTCGAAATGAGTCGTAAAAAAAATTTAGTTAGCATTATTGATCACTAATTTAGGGCTATAAGAAAGCAACCAAACTTGATGAGCTTACCTGAATTGAGTAACAAAGTGGTAGAGGAAGATAGAAGCCTCCAGCCTGGCCAAGTCAAGCCCTGGACACAACCTTTGTCCACCTCCGAATGGAATGAAGCTACAACTGCTCATGTCCCTCTCCTGTGAGGTTCCAATTATATAAATTTAAATCCCAAAAGAAGTAGAGAGAGAGAGAGAGAGAGAGAGAGAAGCAAAAGTCCTTAAAAAAGAAAGGTATATTTTCTTACTTGCCACCTCCAAGGGTTGAACTGATAAGGACAGTCATATATATTATCGTCAAGATGAACTGATCTAAAATACACAAATGCACACCATCCCTTTGGTATGAGATGCCCCTTTATCTTCACATCTTTCATCGCCTTTCGCATCACCCCTATTATGATGTTTCCCATCCTCAGAGTTTCTGTAAGCACCTGTTATAAAGAAAATTAAAAAGGTGTTTTATGACAAGTTATTTTAGTGGAATTCAATTAAGGCCCACAATTTGGAGCTGCCTCACCTCAAGTGACTGTAACCCCGACCTGCGCAAATTGGTCACTTATTATTACACAGGCTCACTAATTTTGCCTTAAAAGCGTTCTTGTTCAATATATAAGTCTAATTGAATGGAAAAAGCGGTTAAGANAAGTGACTGTAACCCCGACCTGCGCAAATTGGTCACTTATTATTACACAGGCTCACTAATTTTGCCTTAAAAGCGTTCTTGTTCAATATATAAGTCTAATTGAATGGAAAAAGAGGCACCACACACACACGGTTGTAATCTTTAATCCAACAGATACAATAAAATCATATTATTACACCAACAAATTAAGTCAAATTTTTAAATCTAAATAGCATTACTCTTCTTAATATTACCCCAGAACTTACTTTTTGTGTGAATGGCAGTGATAAATAATCGCTCCACCTCAATGGTTCTTTAAGCTGATCTTTGAGTCTCTTGAGCTTCAGGTTCTCCTCCTGAGAATCATTAGTAATCAATTATGGAAAACTTCAAGATGCACCATGGCAGTATTTCGAAATGTACACACCGACAGCACAACTAAATTACCATGTAACCCATAATTTTTTTTTGTGCACCTCATTTAGCCCTTAATTGACGCAACTATATATCTTCAAACAGTAATGTTAGACTGATTAAAATTGGAATCCAAATGACATGACAGTTGACTTCGACTTCTTTAATTGATGTGATGTCATTTGGGCCCCAATCCGTCTAGGATTACTCATCTTCAAAAGCTGTGAAAACCATCATCAGTGGATTGCAAGGGTATACGTGGAAAATAAGATTGTTAGTCAAACGAGCTCAAGTCGAATTCGAGCCGACTTTGAAAATTTTGTTTCTTAATTGAGCCTAAAAAATTGTTCAAGTTCGGTTAAACGAGCCGAGCTTGAACAAGCAAAAAACAAGTCGAGCTCAAGCCGAACTCGAATGGTTACACATAAACGAGTCGAGCCTGTTGAGTTTGAACCAAGCTTGTAGGATTTATTTTCTAAACGAGCCTAAAAACTAGTTTAAGTTTGGACTCGTTTAGAAAACGAATTGAACCTGAATGAGCCAAACCCAAATAGAACTCAAACTAAGCTTGTGTAACTCAGTTTGATTAACAGACACAGACACAGTTGAAAACAATTGCTTACTCTCATGGAAAATATTCTTTGGGCTTTCCTACTTCCATAAAAATCCTCGCAATCCACTTATGATTATCATGTGAGTGAATTTTGTTATCGATTTGGACAAATGGGTAACAGAAGGTGTGAATTGGCACAAAAATTATAAATAAGGGGGTAATTGGAGACAACATAATTAGATCCCGGGGTGCAAATTGATATTTTTAAAATTCTTTAGGAACAAATTGTCATTAGCCCTATAAATAACTTAAAACTGCAAATGAATATGTGATAGTGATCCATGCATAACTCCAAATTATGATTCACAGCTAACCAAGAAGTCATACATAGAAGATGGGTTACGTTACGGTTCAAATCACGAAAATAAATTATTTATGTATTTAAATAAAACAACAATGTACATTTAGGAATCTAGTGGTGACGAGAATCTCAAACCTAAATATGCCAACTACCCACATGGTTGAATAAGACAAGTGCATACCGTCAATTGTTGGAGAGCAGCAGGACAATCTGAGAGGTATTTTACAGCAAGAGTCATAAGGACTGGTACTGAATCCTCTCCTGGTATCATCAAGTCAATCATATTATCTGATAATAGATCGTCTGTTAGCTGTTCTCTTGTATCGTTCAGTAAAACCTCCGCCACGTCTTTTGGAACCGTTGATATGCTGCTACTAGTACTACTATTCCTTTTCTCTTGTATAATCTTATGTACTAACTTCACCATTTTCTTCTTTGCCTGAAACCAAAATATCCATTTTGTCCATCATGATACTGCTTGAAGATTGGACATCAAATATGTCTATTGGGTTATGACTTATGAGAGAAACTTTGTTATAGATGAGGCACGTTATATTTGAGGTTTTTTCGACTTGGTGGTGGAAAAGGGAAGAAAGCATGATTGCGGACTACACTAAGGTGCAGACATGTGGCCTCGTTGATGTTTGGATCTCTGTGGAACTTTTTTTACCCGGGATAAATCATTTTAGTTACAGGAGAAGAAAATTTTACTTGCCTGTAATGATCGGTGGAGTTGACTTCCTGGGACTTTTATGGGCAAGGACATTAAACCAGCGATGAATTCCTGAAACTGTTTCTTTAGGAACTCCATGTCTTCGCCTGGATCCAAACTAATCAATGCTTTGACCAGAACTTGAAAAGCAATCTGAAGAAACGAAATGGGAACACTTAAAAGGTGAGGAACATAATTATGTAGTTGATTTTAAGATTATTCCAGCAACATAATTCATGCAAAAACATTGTAATTATGAACCCATAATGATCATGTTTCTCACTTTTCTGCTAATTACTCTTAAAGCTTAGAAAGAGGCTGGATTATAGAGAGAGAGAGAGAGAGAGAGAGAGCTTACATTTTTGGTTTCATCTTGGATGTATATGGGGTGGTCTTCTCTCCAGTTACCCATTGACTTTTGGACAAAATTCTGCATGTCTCTAGTGATTTGAGCTTTGAGATGTGGGGATTTGAAGAAGGCTCCTATGAGTCCATGAATTCTTTTTTGTAAGCTTCCATTGATGAGCAATATAGAGTCCTTTCCCATCAACTCGGTGAGAGATTTCGGGTAAAACGGCACAAAAGTCTTTGAATCACTTTGCAAAATACATCTACTCACTTCAGCATCAATTGAAACTATGGTGGGACTTCCAAATAGGTGTGACTTAAACACCTTCCCATACCTACACAGAAAGATGATATGTTATCATATATTAGAAGTTGTACATATAATTATAAACCTTAATACTAAAAGTCACACTATTTATAAGATAATAGTACTTAAGACTAGTGAAAATCATTAATTGTAAGCATAATAATTAAGGGTAAATTAAATCTTTAGCATGAATTTGATGAACATGTAGCTGAACTATCAGTTGAGAGAGCCTGTTATAACAGTGGAAAAAGAAGTTTATCAAGAAAAGTATATTTAGAGTAATTAACAACATAAACCCAGATTACAAATTAGTGGGTAAATGATAATTCAACCTAAAGTAAAAGATTAGCAGAACTACAAATCATTATTTTCAATCTTATAGTCACTGTTTATATGTTCATACTCAAAACTGACAAAAAGTCGTTAATTATAAATACAAACACGATTTACTGTAATTAAACCTTCAACTATATATCAGTTGATGAGAGTCTTGACTCTTGAGACATCTTGTTAAAACACTGAAAAAAGAAGATTATCAATAAAAATAGACATTAACTTTGAGTGATTAATGATATAAATCCAGATTAATTACTGGGTAGATGATAATTCAACCTAAATAAAAGGATTAGCTGGAACAAGAAGAACAGTGTTTGTTTGTTCTAATGGTGAAGGAGAGAGAATCATCTGAGTTTGACTTATGATATAATAACTTACATGCTACAACGCCTGTTCATGAACCTCTCGGGTTGGTCTGAATAAGCACAAGAAACGAACTCGATGGTTTCGCCGATAAAAGGCCATCCAAGAGTCCCTAAGGGAAGTGGGCTTCTGATCCTGTAGATTGATGATCTAATAGTACTACTATTGCTCCTGATGATGATCCTGTAGAGTATTATGGCGGACAAGAAGATTGATGTCACCACGACCGTAATCCACCAATAGTCCATTTTGTAATTTTTCTCCACTGACAACCCTCACTGTGCTTACCTTAAATATGGTTAATCATGGTGACTATGGCCATTACGACAAAATTTGTGGAAGAATGAATGTGCATGTGTTTGCAAACGCGTGTGGGTGGTGGTGGGAGAGAGAGAGAGAGAGAGACGGAGAGGTCTTTATCTCTTAAGTTGGTCCCCCTTCATAGTGGTTAAAGTTGAAGAGGTGTGGTTAGATCCTTTTGAGTCTGTCAATCCAACCTTGAGTGAGAGTTCATGTTCAAGTACGAGAATAAGCATACTGTACTTCTTTCAGTGTATTGGGGAGAGGGAGTAAGAGTCGAATTTGGATTGTTCATATTGTCCATATTTCATTACGGGCATAAAACTGCCGTAGGGAACGATTAAGTATCGACTTTTGTAAATTATCAGAAACAATCATAGCATCTTAAGATCGATCTCAAACGACCTCATTTTGGCTTAAACTAATCTGATAAATCATAGCATCTAATTGAATCATTATTTTCAATATGGTACTAAGAAGTGAATGTTTGTTATAAAAAATGCGTTTACAGACGCATTTTCAACATTGCAATGTATATTTTCGTGCACACAACTATAATTTGGAAAAATCGTTGTTAATAAGGGTTAATTTTGTTTTACGCTTCGAAAGATATTTTGATTATTAATTTACACCCTCAAATATTAAAAATCTCAATTTATATCCTTAATGTTATAAATTGATAGAAATGTGGACAAAACCTAAGCTACCGCTTAGTATTCTGTCATACATTGAAGCACGTAGGGTGCAAGTGCTTAGGGAACAGATCTTTGTCTGCGATCAATTTGACACCATTTTATGTATCGAAAATAGGATTTCATTAATCAGATAGAAGCTAGCCTTATCATATGCAACTCACTTGAGGTGCTAACAGTCTATAAATTTATATATAAGCCCATACTCGAAACACTTGCAACTTGTGTGTTTCAATTTATAATAAAAAATTGAATGAGACAGCCTAGGTTAAGTCTACATTTCTACCAACGTATAACATTGAAAGTACAAATTGAGATTCTTAACATTTAAAAGTACAATTAAGAAAAAAAGCATCTTGAGAGGTGCAAAGCGAGATTAACTCTAAAAAGAATGATAATGTAATAAATAACTTAAAAAAAAGTAGTCGGGTCATTGATTCTGATTTGGGTTTTGAGGGTCAAGTACTTGAGAGTGGTAATACGGGTAGCAAAGTAGTGGGAATTACATGATCAAGAAATTGTAGATGGGTATAATGATGGAGGTGTGTTGTTAAAGATGAAAATGGGAGGGTAGGAGACGTCCCTACGTCCATGATTGTCTCGTGGAACAGTCAAGTTAAGCGTCCCCCTCACATTGCAGCTGGTGGCCTCGTGCATTCATGTGAGACTCAATAAATCCAACACATTCCCCATCATCATATATGGCTCACCTTTTGTCCCTCTCTCTCTCTCTCTCTAAATCATCATCCAATCCACACACCTAGGCCAACCTCTCATGTTACTTTCATTCCCATCCTCTCTTCATTTTATATGGCATGCCTCATGTGGCTTAGTGGCTAGCTACCTCTCTTTACCAAAAATATTCTGAATTATTTTGAGCCTTGCAGCTCGAGCGTTTTTTATTTTCGAGAGTAAGACTATGATATTAAAGAAAATATCTTATCGAGTGAATAACTCTAATAATTTAGCCCGAGGGAAACGTTCTTTTAAACAATATATATATTATAGTAATATGAAATTTCCAAATCTTGGAGAAAAACGATTGCATCATTGTCCAAAATAACCCTAAAGTGTCAAAAGGGCATCCTCTAGTTGGGATGGAGAAAATTGTCCTTCCATTACCAAAGGCATAAACGGCCTAATAACTACAAGTGCCCTAAACCATGAGAGAGGAGGAAATTTAAACCCAAAATTATAACTTTGACTAGTATAATGTATTTTACATTATAACTTTCAACGTATCTCTTTGACTGTTATCAAACTAAAATCAGTATTCAATTCTCAAGATGACCCATTTCTTGTTAGCCTTTTTGTTTTTTTATGTTAAGTTCCATCCCCCCAGAGGGCCTCAACATGATATACCTAACTACATATATTTTCTATATCTTACTATAAGGATGTACTTTAATCCCATGTCATCATTCCATCAAACTCTCTCTCTCTCTAATTAATATGCCAAATCTTAGCTAACGAATCCTAGAAAATATCTTGGATATTGTAATCTAATACTTTTCAAGTATAATGGAAATTGTCGTAGTTGAGCTAGGAATTGAAGGATGAGAAAGAAACGTCAATGGGTGGAAGTGGTTGGGTTTTTTTTTTTCTTTGAACTGGGGTTGTGGTTGCTTTGAATAATGTAGTTTGCATGTTGTGGGTGGGGGGGAACTCTCAGCCTCATGGGGCATATTGGTTTGGTGGTGTCCACATCCTTATTGGGAATTGTGCCCCCGCTTTTTCTGAGCCGCAGTCTCGTCTGATTCTTTACGAGGTGGAAGTAGAACTTGTAGAATACTTCCCACAATTTGTTCTTCAAGTGGAACCATGTGATATTGAAAACCATGGAGTAATGCTATTAAAATCTCATTCCTTGATCTATCTAATCAATTCTTATTTTCCAATTGATAGTAAATCTTAATGTTAGTTTGGACCCGCCATCAATTTAAGGGCACCAATGAATCCATTGCTGTGACAGGTATTATTTGAAGAAAAATATTTACATACAATTTGATAACGTTTTTTATTAAAAAAAAAAATTATAAAAAGAGACCATGTTTCATTACTACGTAATAAAGCAATCACTATGAACCTTAATCAATTAATAATACATTTAAGTTTGTGCATAAATATACTGTTATATATGGATTAAGTTTGAAAGAAGCGTAAACTCAAACAATGGAAAAACAATAACAATGAAAAAAAACACTAGTGTCATACCAAAAAGCCTTAAAGAAAAGTACCAAACAATGTCTAAACTTTTCCGTTATTAAGAACCTAATTAGCAATCCCATGAGAAATTAGACGTCAAGAACCAACCAGAATAGTGCTGTTCAAGCCTATTCTAATTTAGTTATTCACGGGCCGGGCTCCAAGGGGATGGAGTGAAGCCCATATTCGTCGAGATGATGAACTCGGTTGGAATGACAACTCTTATGGACTGACCATCAAGCGGGCTAGGCTCGAAGAGGATGATGTGAAGTCCATATTCATTGAGATGATGAACTCGGTTGGACTGTGAACTTTTATGGACTGACCCTCAAATTAGTATCGACTCAAAAGAATTCTCTTAGAAAGGAGCTAAGAAAAGCTGACGTGGGCTATACAAGGAGAACCGACCATTACGCCGGACCTAAAATAGTCACTGCTAACACTTTCACCTTCAGACACCAATACGGCCTTAAGCCAGCCACGGAGAGATGAAAGTAAATGAATCACAAACTAAAGCCATTATCAATCCATTCCAAGTGGTTCTGCAAATTCACATGGTCAGCATACTGAAGGACTTCAACTACAAGCCTACTAGTTCAAAAAAAAAAAAGTAATTACAAGCTTGGAATGGATTTGGCTCGAATGAATTGTTTGAGAATGGCTTTCTCTTCATCAATGCGATTCTTCTCTTCTGCGTCTTTTGGTTTAACCTTCCTCTTCTCCTCCAATAACCACTTGTAAAGTTCACGTTGCTGATCCTCGGGTATTGGATCATGTAACTTCACAGGCGCCATAACCGGCAAAGGAGGAGGTGATTTTTCACTTACTGTAGGAGTTGCAACAGGAGCAGAGGGAACCTCTGGAGACTCTTCTCCCTCTGTCCCTCCATCTTTCTTTTTTGTCCTCATGAAAAGGTAAGCTACAAAATTATGGAGACCCAGTCAAATTTGAAGCACAACTCGATCAATGGGCACTAATTCATCAAGAAATGAAACCAATGCCTTCCGAATAGTCATTCCATGGTTCTACATGACCAACCTTAACACAATTGAAAGGCCACAAATGAACATGCAAACAAACTTGGGATTTTTTTTTTTTTTTTTTTAACAAACTTGGGATTCCAAAATATGTCACTACCAAAAATCCTGTTCCTCTACTGTGCTCCATCCAATGACATAATTTCTGTTAAAGCATATTTATCACATATCCTTTACATCTCATTCAAAGTCAACTTTGGTCCACTTATATCCTTTCCATTTTCACCGATAGGTATTAGATCACTCTTTCTTTCAGATGTAATAACAAGACTCCTACAAAAATATTCAACCCACTTAAAATGATTTTATATTAATTTATCTCCCACTGGTATTACTTCTATCTTTCCACGAATGTATTCATTTATATATCTCCCATCTCTGTATCAGCCACAATTCCATCCTATCGTCTTTCATTTCTGCCACATTTAATTTTTGAGCGTATTGTTTCTTAATTGTCAGACTTAGGATGATGAAAGCCTACAGTGAGTGAAAATTCCCTAATCTCCCCCTACACTTGTTCTCACTAAAGTCACTATATCCTTGTGCATATCTTTAATCATTTCAATATACCTATTTTTATCTCTTTCTTCTTTAAAACACAACATATTACATTCTTAGGAGCTTTACCATAGGTCTTCTTCAAATCTAGAATAATCATACAAAAAAATTCTTCTTCTATCTATACCTTTCCATTACTCCCAAGTATGGAATCTAAATTGATTTGCATTTACTGTTCTTTCAAATCTTCACTATTGCTTGAACACTCTTTCAAAATTCTATTGTGTGACAGACTTTTAAATGTGCATGTGAGACGGAAAAAAATGCAACATAATGCAAGTCACATCATCAACATTTCTACAGAACCTCTCATTAAACAAGCCTGTATAACAGGGGCCAGAAAGAAGATGTGCACACTGAAAAAAGAGTCAACCATCATCTTGCAGAAGGCCAAAGGAAAGGAAAAGGCATTTGATCTCTCCACATATAACACGGGTTGGGATTCAATATAATATTTCAAGAGAAAATATTCCGCACTCTTACAATATAGAACCAACTATTAAAAGCCAAAATGGAATTTAAAAGAAACTGAAGCTTAAGTTCTGCATTATAAGTTCAATAATTGAAAAAACACAGTGGGATGGGCTCTCCACATTCCCTTTTTGGGGATTTTTTTTTTTTTTTGGGTGGGGTTGGCCATTACCCTATGGATGGTCAAATACTGAACAGTCACCAAAATAGCTAAATAGAATACACATTACAAAGCCAAACTTAGCATTGACATTTAACACCATTTCTCCTTTTTAATTTTCAAAATATTATGAGTTAGGACTAGCTCAACTCAAAAATCACCTCCCTTATGATGCAACTACTAGACAACAGTAGGGTCCAAAGAAAACATATTATTACTAAAGCAGATAAGAGTTCAACAAAAAAGAAAATGGTTGCACCAACCAGATCCTTACGAAAGTAAAATTCTGATTGTTCGACCAGAAAATAACACCCATTTTGAATTTTTAGGGTGTAGAAGTAATCTGGTCCAAACTATATCATTCCAGAGTTTGAACTGCCTGCCTACATTTCCTTGCTTTAAATTTTGGTATATTCTGCCTACAGAAGAATGATAATGTTTTTTTTTGGGGCATTAAAAAATAAATAAAGACTGTCTCTGTGGATGGCAAGACTGTCTCTGGGATGTATCATTCAACAAGACATCCATCAACACCAATCCTCTTTTTTTCTAGAATCTTTTAATTTCTAGGTTTTGGTCAAACACTATTTTATAATTTATTTATCTTGAACAAAACCATTAGTCCCATCAAGACAAGTGCTGTTAATTTGAAGGAGAGGGATTCTTTTCTCTTCTTTTTTTTCAGCTTGAGTCTCTATGCCAGAATAAAAATGAAGCAGAAAATCAAGACCATGGAGAATGTCTCTCAGCATTTAATTACCAAACAACATAAGCAACACCACAGCACTACAACAATCTATAGCATGTCAAGCTTCTTCCTAGCTTCAACCTATAAAAATTAAAGTATCCATGCAACAATCATCTGATAACCGAAAGCATGGGCAAAATATGACCCAAGAAGGATTGAAATGTTGAGGCCAGCCACAACTCTTAAATAACTCCTGGATCAAAAGTCAAACATCCAACAAGTGACTTTCTCTCATTGGATTTTGATTTAACAGGATGACAAACTTTTCCAATTTTTCCCTAAATTCCAAACTATCCACCTATTTCCATTTACAAAACAAAACCAATAACATAAAGTCACCGACAACCCCCAAAACAATTTTCTAAGAACTAATTAGCCATCATAACACAACCACAAACTGAAATATAGCAATTGTTGCTCAGATCTAACAAGCCCTAATTCAAGTGTTATATTCATATAAGAGCTCGAAAGGCTGATAAAATCATCATAGGTTCAAGAGAAGAGATAATACGCAGATATAATCCAATGGATATTTATATATGAGAGAGAGACAGAGAGAAGTAACCTCCAACGGCCAAATTGACAGTCAAGAGAAGAGGCCAAAGGAACTTGTAACGACGGGCGAACGACTCCTTGGGCAGTTGAGGAGGAGGAGGTGGAGTCGGAGCCTTGGACGTAGCTTGAGTCCCCATGGACGACGCCGACGCCGACGCCGACGGTGGTGATGTATGTTGCTGTTGATGTTTCAGCTGTGCTGTTGATCGTTATATAATATTACATGATAATCAATCAAACGTCAAATCACAGAAAATAAGTAAAACGATTCTTCACCACAACAATTTGTTTCCAGAAATCAAAATAAACAAATACTTCAGAGTTCGTCAAACAAGAATGAGTAACTTACCTTCAAAAGATGCTTCATCGAAGTAATCTATTTCCAGAGATCAAAACAAAGAAAACAAAAATATTGTTTATTTCTAATATATACATGAGGAAAATTACCTTTCTTAGGTTTGCTGGTGAAGAGTTTCGGAGCTTCGCTCATTCTTACTCTGCTACGCTGCTCTCTCTCTCTTTGCGTGTTGCTTGGTCGCAGTACTAATTCTTGTTCCAAGAAAATTTTTAGGAAAAACCTTAACAAAGGGCGTACTCTTGGTAAATAAGAAAAAGGAATATAAGAAAAGTTAAAATTCAAATGAATGAGTGGGTCCTGCTAAAATAATATTGATGATATTCCCTCATTCAAAAAATAATATATATTTAAGTTGTAATTTTTTAAATTTTGTAGCATTATTCATAGGAAAATACTAAATAGATTTAAAAAAAAACAATTGTACAATATCTAAATAAAACCCAAAAAAATGTAACCAAAATACATATTATTCCTTGAATGAATAGATCCCATTAATTTTTTCATTATAACTCATTCATCCAAGAGATAATATACATTTAAGTTTTAACTTTTGAGTTTCATTTAAGTTATATAATATTTTCTTTTAAAAAATTATTTAATTAATCATTATCATTATTTTTGCCTAGATAGTGAGTTTTAATATTTATTGAAACTTACAATTAAATTAATAATAGATATAATAATCATACCATTAAATTAAATTTTTTAAGTCTCTTTGATATTACTTGAATAGTTGAAGAGGATAAAAATCAGATTTTTTTTGTGAGCTGCAACACATGCATATATAAAGTTTTATGTTTGAAAACGAATTCAAAATTCGACCACGTCATCCATACAAATGCAAATCCAGACTCCAAGGCCATTCAACCGACTCCAAACCATACCATGAATTTTGGATTAGTCATTCACACTCGGAATTTCAATAAAAATTCCCCAATTTGCTGAATTTCCCGAGTACAAATGCAAAACCATTAACCTTGTGAGACTCATGATCTCATAATTACACAAAAATCCTCCTAACAAAATGGATTTGGAGAGCCAAATCATCTTTCACCTTCAGCATGAGACCAGAAAACCATAGCATATAAAGTTCATTGCAGTAGAAGCCCAGCCCTACCTGAGCTTTGTCGTTAGGGTGGCACACCCTGCCAATTCCCTATCATCGAAGTAATTCAGTCAAAGAATCAAATGATCCCAAAATCTGGTGTGAGCTTACCTACCTAGACCCTAGTATGGGTGGGAACTTTCAACACTTAGGTACGCCAAATTAGGAAAATTTCTCCAAAATTGAAGGTAAATATAGCTAAAAACGACTAAAGTGTTTCATTGCAAAGAGATCTGAGAAAAATATTCAATCGAAATAACCCAAAATACAACATGTAACAATAGGCAGATATGAAATAAAGCACGTAAGTTATTTCTCTCCTTGCTGCAACCACCAGTAAAAGTGGGTGAGAAAGGTATTAATCTTACAGAGATGGCTCAATCCTAATTGCCACATGAGCTTTCAACCTCTACTTTTAGTCTTCTCTAATTTAACAAATTGGAGAGCACTAAATTACAAGGATGACACAAATAAGATGTCGCACAGTTAAAACAATAGTAGAAGCCTCACAGAGCACTTGCAGTGAGAGATCCTCACTGGCATGCATCTCAAAAGTCATTAGCTCCAAGAGCGACCACCACCATAACCTCGGCCACGCTCTCGGAAGCCCCCTTGACCTAAATGAAAACAAACAAAGATAGAGTCAGGGCCATAACAAGGAGTAAATATTGAGTGTAACAGTGACACCACGTTATCATTGATACGTGATATCACTATTCAATAATAAACTTATAAATGGATAAGATAAATCCGNAAGCCCCCTTGACCTAAATGAAAACAAACAAAGATAGAGTCAGGGCCATAACAAGGAGTAAATATTGGGTGTAACAGTGACACCACGTCATCATTGATACGTGATATCACTATTCAATAATAAACTTATAAATGGATAAGATAAATCCGGTGGTTATTAAATGATATGACAGGGTGGTTATTATAATGTTTGGAATCCACTTGCTTATTTGTTATGTTTTTATTAGATGGTGACACCGTTACACCCAATATTTTTTCCATAACAAAGGGCTTGCAAGTCCATGAAACAAGTAAAAGAAAGAATTTCATTCAAGAAACAAGCCTTCAAACTGATGCACAGTTCTAGACCAACAAATAGAACACCAATACATTCTACTTGTGTGACTTTAGATGTCCAATGAAAATTAAATGGCTCCACCGATGGCTTTTTTTTCCATAGTTGGAAATTGGTAGCAGGAAAACAGAAATCAAACAAACGGTCATAATAGTTCAGGAATAATATTATCATTTAATGAGTCAAACCAGATAAATCATTCTACTTACTGGACCCACTAAACAGAAACTTTTTTTCCAACTGACATTTAAGTGCCCCGGAATCAAAATAAATTAGTTAACTTTGTCACAGGTGCCTTGTTCATTAACATAAGGGGAAGTCAGCAAAAGCCAAAAACTAAGGGGGAAANATCAAACAAACGGTCATAATAGTTCAGGAATAATATTATCATTTAATGAGTCAAACCGGATAAATCATTCTACTTACTGGACCCACTAAACAGAAACTTTTTTTCCAACTGACATTTAAGTGCCCCTGAATCAAAATAAATTAGTTAACTTTGTCACAGGCGCCTTGTTCATTAACATAAGGGGAAGTCAGCAAAAGCCAAAAACTAAGGGGGAATGTCCAGAATTTTGGCTTAGTTTGTCACACTAACCAGGAAATTGTAGTGTTCCATTTGGTAAATAAAACCATAAAAAGAAGAAACAGAACAACATCATCACCACTCTGGTCAACTAACCTGATGAGGATGGAGGTGCACCACGCCCCATAGCTGACAGATCAGGACTGACTTTCTGGCCAGCCTCCTGGAGAATGTTAATAAGTTCTTTTGCAAATCTAGCATTCGCAGCAGTGAAGTAAGTGTATGCAGTTCCTTTGGCACCAGCCCTTCCTGTTCGACCAATGCGGTGAACATAATCCTCAAGGGATCCCGGAAAATCATAGTTGATCACATATTTCACATCCTTCACATCTGCAAATCGAAAGGGAATAAGAAATGCAACTTTTTAAGCTAATTAGAATTCAAACACCATCCACACCCCGAAGCACAATGCAACGACAAGACACACACACAGAAGAATCTCTTCTTCCCTTGATCTATGAAGACAGTTAAAATGGTGGTTGAGGAATCAATAAAATAGCATGCATTGTTATGGATTACAAAGATGAAGTTAGTCTAAACTACTGGCACCAACCCAATTGAACAAAATTGTGACTAGCATAAAAAGGTAAATCATGTGTTTAGCACCAAAAGCCTATATATGGAGACTTGCCTGAAGAAATCTAGCTAGACATGTGAAACCGATAAGCAAACCACTGAGTACTCTAAACCAGATCATAATGATATACGAGTACAAGCAGAAGTATGAAAACGCAGCAGAGGTAGTCCTCAAATGAAATTTGAGGTTGAATCTCATGACCAACAAGGTGATCACACTGATGATGTGGTATCTGTTTCACCAGCGTTCAACTGTGATGATGACCACTACTTTGACCATTGGTTATTACAGTTTTTTTTTCAATACTGATTTATCAGAAGTTATATTTATGTCCACAAAAAGAATAAGAAGTGTTTATTGATATACATCATATGAGATGAAGATGCTGAGGCTTGTTCAAAGCTCATACTAATAAACTAGATCTCAAACAGAAATCTAGTGTACCATGGAGGATTAAGGTACAATAACACATGACACATACCTAAACCACGAGCTGCAACATCTGTCGCAGTCATTATAGGACTCTTCCCAGCTTTAAACTCTGAGAGGACCCAATCCCTTTCAGCTTGACTTTTATCCCCATGAATGGAGAGAGCAGGCCATCCATCCTGGCGAAGCTGCCGAGTGATCTGGTCACAGCCTTTCTTGGTGTCCATAAAGATCAGAATTCGGCTACCATCCATAATATCCTCTAGCAACTTTACCAATCTGGAATCAAGAAGAAATATTAAGGGCACAATGCCTGTATCCAGTCACACTTTTGTAAATCATAAGGCTGAAACATCAAAGACTATAGGCTAAAAATATGGCAGCCTACTTGTTATACTTCTGATTCTCAGAAACAATTTCCACAATCTGGCGAATGGCATGGTTAGCTTTCAGCTCTGGAGAACCTATAACCACCTGCGCAGAGCTCAAGGAGAAAAGAAGGGGGAAAACCAAATCCATAACATTTAATATGCAACTCAGGAATGAACAAGATGAAGGATTTGTTGCCAGTACTAACCAGAACCCTTTACATTTCACAGAGTTACTCATGCATATGCAAACGAAAACAAAAGCCCATGATATGCTGCCACTGAGTTTTTTTGTTTTCCACTGAGTTTCTGGGGAAAAAACTCAACAGTACTCCATAAATACAATGGCCTAGCATATCATGCTTGGCTATTGCATGAACTGTGAAAATATACAATACTAAATTAAACATGTAAGAATAATGTGCCCTGGAAAAATATACATTGCTAATTAAACATGTAAGAACAATGTGCCCCGTAAAAATATACAATACTAAATAAAGCATGTACGAAGAATGTGCCCCCATTATAGCAGTAAACCTCCTATTACAAATATAGATCCCAGATTCTGAACCTTACTTTGTACGGGTTGTAAAGGAATTGTCGTGCAAGTTGTTCAACCTCCTTGGGCCATGTCGCACTCCAGTAGAGGGTTTGACGATCTGGGCGAATCTGCAGACAACAGAACACTGAAGGATGACAAGCAATCTCAAGAATAAACAAAGATGGGTAAACAACATTTTTTTTGTTGCGGACGGTGGGGAGAGAGGGAGAGAATTATGTCTCCAGTGAGTGTAATGAAAATTATTCCTTTAAATAATGAGTAATTGAACAGTGGCCTGAAGTAGCAACAGCCATACTGTCCTCATCAAAATAAAAACTAAGAACAAGTGCACGTAAGTATAGAATAATATGTTTTAATAGCAGATAAATGTTTTGTCTTCATGCTCTGGAAGCCTGGATACAATGTACATCGTAAGTACAAAACAAGTAATTCAAACGCCGCAGCCTGCCCACCTCAAACTAAGCACCACAGATGATGGGGTCATCTTGCCAGTAGATTAGACAATTAAGGGTATGATCTTAATAGCACCAGTCAAATTCATTAAGCACGGTGAAAAACATACTCAGAATACTCCACAAATTACTCCTGAATTTAGCAATCTTACTCATCCTGTACAACACCTTTGAATAAAATCATCGTACAAGTGGTGAATAACTTGCAAAAATCTCTGATTATTCTGAATGGTAGCAAAATTCAAGTTGTTACAACTCACATCAATCCCCTTAATTGCTACTCTCAGCTCTCCCCAACCACCTCCCCCCACCAAGGCCCAAAAAGCACAAACTCTCCGAGAGGAGGGAGAAACCCAAAGGAGAAGCCAACAGAGTTTAACAACAGTAAGAAGCAAGAGATGTCAAGGGCCATGAGCAGAGGGTGGAAATATTATAACCATTTCAAGAAAACCAAGCAAGCAGAATCCTCAGAAAACATATGGTTAGTTCCATTGAAAATTTTAGTTTATCAGCATCGAAGCTTTGATAGGAAACATCTTGTGATAGAGATCTGGTGAGAAGAAAAAAAAGAAGCCAAAAGCTCTGAATGCGTCATGTACACTGAGCAAATGTTTTCACACCAGGAGAAGAAAATTGTCAAAATTTTTGTAGATATCAATTGTACTGATTGGTAAAATCAAACCATTATCATATAAATCATACTATCATCGGGTTTTATACCGGACCGTTGTACACTACCACACATTTTATTAGGGTCAAATCCGAGCTGTGATTTAATTGCTGTAATGTCTCAAATGTACATAATATCTTCGGATTTTAAAACTGCAACAGATTCATTTCTCATGTTTGCAGAAAGCTAGGAAGGGAATTGGTGTGAATACCACTATAAACTATAAAGTCAAAAAGCTAGGAAGAGAGATGAAAGACATACTCTAATGTAGAGTATAAAGAACAAAGTCGCAAACCTGAGAAACAATCTTTCGAATCTGAGGATCAAAGCCCATGTCCAGCATCCTATCTGCCTCATCCAACACAAGATATGTAACCCTTCGCAGGTTGGTATGATGAGATTCCATCATATCTATCAACCTTCCCGGGGTAGCAATAACAATCTCAACACCTAAGCCAAAAAATGATGGATGAAGGCGACAAAAATAATGGGAACAATAACTATCTGATAATAATAGGAATTGAGAACAAGGAGAAGAATAAGGAGATACCCGATTTGTGAGCATCACGTGACAGTAGTAACTCATCTTAAACTTATGCAGCACCTACCTTTCTGAAGGTCACGAACTTGAGGTCCCTTTGGAACCCCACCATATATGCAGGTATTTTTAATCCTTGATGATGCACCAAATTTAGCAGCTTCTTGTTGTATCTGAACAGCAAGTTCACGTGTAGGAGCTAAAACTAACACAATTGGACCATCTCCAGGAGCTGAGAAAATATAGATAAGACAAAGTTAATTTAATGCCAACTAGGTGAACAGAAAAATCAAGATGGATGGAAATAAGAAGTCCATGACCGTTTATGTAAATACCTAAAATTGGCTGAGCATTCACATGAACTATGGCTGGCAATAGGTACGCCAGTGTCTTTCCTGATCCTGTTTCAGCAATGCCAATTAGATCACGGCCCTTCAGAGCCATTGGCCAACCTTGAGCTTGTATAGGTGTGGGCTCTGAAAAACCAGCTTTCGCAATTTCTTGCAGAACATAATCTGGAATCACAAATGGACAATGTGAAAAATCAACTAAACTTAATGCAATGAACATGTATCATCCACAACATAGCATTCTCAATAGGGAGATATCAATTTCTTTCAGAGAATTAATCTACTGTTCAAAATTATTTCCACCAATCGTACACCTTTTTCCAAAGAATTTATGCATAGTGCTTTCTTTACTTGGAAATAACTAGTATAAAACAAACTAGTACCAGAGTGCTAATATCTTCAGATGATGATGCAAAAGGTGCTAGAACACAATTAAATTATTTTTTTTCCTTTAACAAGTAACAAGACCAGGAAGTCCTCAACCCCATATAATGCGTAAACAAAAACCACTCACTTTCTTTTACACCTATGAATTTACTAGTGCCGTCATAGTTGCATGCATAATGAACATGATACACATAATCTATTTGGAAAGCAACTTCTATAGGGATTATTAGAAGAACACTGTTTTGCTGCGGAAAATTTAGAACAAAAGGATTGAAAAAAGCTAATAGGATGAGAGAAAAAACGAAGCAATTCCAACAGCTCCGTCAATCTGTTGTTCATCAATGGGCGAAGTTTTCTCCTTATCATTGCCTTGGTCCAAAAAGGAAACCACAAGTTGTAACTCCTCGCTCTGGTAGCTCAAAGCCCACAGGTTTTGTCGTCCTGCCTCTTACCTAAAACAAGATAGGATTTGATTCATAAACTAAGCTCGCAATATCTAGCTTCAAATGAAATGTCCAACCGAAAAAGTTCCGTTCGGGAGCAATATACACAAGTCTTCTCTTGTTCTCTTTTCACCTCTCTAACTCCTCGTGCCGAATGAATGATGGGTTCGAGTGGTCTGATGAGATTAGAATTGTAGATCTTTTATATATAAATGGAAAGAAAAAAAATACTAGGCTTAGGAGAACTTAAATGGTAAAAACCAATTTGCAATAGAAATTAGGAGCTCCCTTCTTTCTATTATTCCTCATAATGATTTAGAAGGAAGGAAGGGATGGCCTAAAAATAGTCTACAGACAAATCAAATATGGAATACAAAGAGAGTCAATCCTGGGTGAATCTCATTGTGCAAAGTTTGTCTCCAAAAAGAAGAAGTTTGGAAAAATCCAATCTCATAGTAATTGCACAATTCAACAATATTATTAAAAAACATTTTCTACAATTCTAAAACACCACAAGAACGTAAAACTTTACGGTTCTATTCCTTTTACTTAAAAAGGGTAATGAATACAAATAATGCCAACACAATAAGGGACTTTCTTTTGCCCAACAAGTTCTCCCATCTCCTCGAGGTGAGATGAAATAGATTTTCCATCTTCTTCTAGCAACTTGCAATTTTTTTAATATTTGCTTTTGTATGATGGAGGCGATGCTTGCAGTTGTTAATACCCAGATAATGTCTTGGTATTGTATTAAATAGAATAGAAGTCAAGTACTNCGAGGTGAGATGAAATAGATTTTCCATCTTCTTCTAGCAACTTGCAATTTTTTTAATGTTTGCTTTTGTATGATGGAGGTGATGCTTGCAGTTGTTAATACCCAGATAATGTCTTGGTATTGTATTAAATAGAATAGAAGTCAAGTACTACAAGTTATTTGCACGAGCCTGCCTGTATTAGCCTAACTTGATGCAATTACCAATCTCAACAAAGCTCATTGAGTTAAAACTCTAACCGAGCTTGAATTTTCTAACCCGGGCAGACCTTGGTACCCTATGGTTGAGCCTAGTTGACCTCTAACTTCAGCCAACCCGTGCAGCTTACGACCCTAATGATGCCCTAATGGTATAATAAGGAGCAACCCAACATAGAGAAATTACTTAAATAATTATGGTACAAGCATCTTANTTTCTAACCCGGGCAGACCTTGGTACCCTATGGTTGAGCCTAGTTGACCTCTAACTTGAGCCAACCCGTGCAGCTTACGACCCTAATGACGCCCTAATGGTATAATAAGGAGCAACCCAACATAGAGAAATTACTTAAATAATTATGGTACAAGCATCTTATTTAAGACCCTGTGGTTATCTGATGAAGTTTGCTTTATGGTCTTTCCCGTACTTGAACAGAATTTGATTGATGCAGTCAAGTTACCAATACCTTGGATTATGCTAATCCACCGCAAGAAGTTTCTACACATGTGTTTGTGTGTGTTGAGTGAACGTAGTTCTAAACACAAAAAAAGTTCAAAAGCTTTATGAAGTCCTAAAATTGATTGGCCTAGCCTAACAAAAATTCTTAGCATGCGATATCATACAATGTGATGGAACCATTAAAAAGAAGTGAGTTCATAATTATCTGACCCTAAAGTCTCTTTATTCACCTTGGATTTCATCTTCTGGCTCTAACCCATTTCTTAACCTCACTAAAAAAATTATCTTCTCCTGCCTTCTTATATGCGCTTGTTCCTCCATCAATTGAATTCATTCCAGCAGTTAATCTTATATTCACATACGCAAACAAACAAATAAACAAGTCCTTGGTAACTGATTTCTTGATACCCTTGATAATATTGATAATGAAAAAATAGCAATATAAGTGCCACTTAGACTTCTATATAAGCCCCGTTAAATTTGGCAAACTGACTCAAACATAGAACACAATGCACCAGTATGCCTAACACCAACTAACAACCATAATCATTATACAAAGTTCTCAGGCATCACTTTTTCGTGCTACCATAAAGTTACCTCTCTATTCAATTATATTGGATTAAGTACCTGGAAACCCCACATCGCGGAAAGTCTTTACTGGCTTTGGCACATCCCGGCCTTCAACTATGATTTCCCGCCGCCTCCGATACTCCTCAGCTTCACTCTCTGACATTGCCGCAACAGCCTGTGACTCAATGTAGAAATTCTTCTCAAACGGAGTCAACCCATCCAAATCCAACTTCCGCGCCGGCTCAGCCCCATCGTAGTCCCTCCTGCTAGAAGAGGAACGAACTCCTCCAAGTCCCGCCCCACCAAACCCAGAATCACTAAACACATAACAAATACATATCAAATTACCACAAATTCAAAATGAACGACGCAGTGCTTGCTCTAATTGTGATTGAAGACGTGCGAGAACTTAGAGACTAAAACACTAGACAATTGCACACCCTCACACATAAAAGAAAAGAGTAATTTATGAAGTATATGGGATACAGGAGTGAGGTAGGGTTACCTTCTACGGTCACGATACGAACCGGGGTCGCTGGAGCGGCTGTCGTATCGACTCATGCTGTGATGCGTGCACTTCGCAGTCAGATTAGCAGCGGATGCACGGTGGATTGAAAGGTTTCGCCGGGAGGTTTTGAAGAGAAAGAACAGTACTGGACTTTCTCCTTTTGGGCGCAGAGAGAGAGCAAAGCAATGCGACTCTAGGCTTCTCGAGTCTCAGCTGTTCCCGACTCACTGCCCTTGCACCGTAGTTTTACTATGGGGGAATCTCAATTTACACCCCAAAATTGTTTATTTTTTTCTTTTTTCACCTTTAAAGATTAATGTATTACGAATATTGTAACGAGATCCTTTCCTTAATTTTTATTGTTTATTCCGTCAAAATTCAGTCTACTGACATCAGCGATGAAATTAATAAAAATTTTATATTATAATATTTTTAATACATTTGAAGCAGAGTGATTAATAAAACTTTTGAGTGACTATCTGAATTTTAGTCTACTGTTTCAATTAAGTTCACAATGAAATTTTTTTTCTCAAATTTGTCCTTGAACTATAGATATTCTATCAGTGCGGCTCTTCTTTTACATTTCATCTCATTTGTCCACAAAATTGTCTCAGAAGCAGAGGTGGCAAATGGGTGAATTGGGTTAAATAAATCTAATTTATTTTTTTACTCGTATGGTAAATGGGTTATAATGGATTGAGTTTATAACGGGTTAGGTTAAACTAATTAACCTATAAAATAATTAAAAATTTTAATGAACACATTAGTACATCAAAATATACACACACATTAGTAATACACTAAAATACAAACACACACACATTAATATATCAAAACACACACAAACTAATATACTAAAAATACACACACATATATTAACACAAAAATTAAAATATATTTAATAAAAAAATACACAAATAATAGGTCAGGGTGATTGTGGTCTATAGGTCAACCCACAGGGGTAGTGTGTCAATCCATGGATTATGAGTTGACCCATTAGTCGTGGGTCATGTGTCGACCCACAAGTCGTGGGTCATGGCTGGTGTATTAGTATGTGTTTTTTTTTGTATTAGTGTGTATATATTTTGGTGTATTAGTGTATATTTTTTGTGTAATAGTGTGTGTATTTTTTAGTATATTATTATATTTATTTAATTTTATTACTTGTGTTATATAATAAAAAAATAAATACTCAATCCAATGGGTATTCATTTGTAATTCATATTAACCCGTTTAATTAAAATGAATAATATTACTCAACCTATTTAAAACTCATATTAATTAATATAGATACCCAACCTATTAATTTATAGGTGAATTAGATAGATTAATGGACAATGGGTTAAAATTATCATCTCTACCTCCAACAATACAAAGTGAGGTAATTAGAGGGCATTTATGATGACTCAACCCAATTCCAAACGTTACTTGTCTGGTGCTTAAACATATTTCAATCAAAATTTGATCGATCACATTTTTTTTTTGCTCTTTCTCCTACATACAAATGTTGCCTCACTATCCAAACACCACCACAACCTCAAAGAAGCCCCACTATACGCCCCCAAGCACCACCACCATGTCCTTTTGTAGCAATTTCTTATCTCCTATCCTCCGGTATACCTCCAACCTCATCTCTATCCATCATTATTTTGTTGTGAAAGTAATTATTCTTTGCAATGACGATCCTACAATATAAATGACATACGAAATTATAGCCCAAAAAATCATATATGAATCGTGCACCTTTTTCCTACGTAGATGTGTCAGTAAACACCGTACATATGATAATTTGTTATAAAAGTATAATACCACATATTCATGCTGTCATGATATCACTAATGTAGTAAAAANTTACCACAAATTCAAAATGAACGACGCAGTGCTTGCTCTAATTGTGATTGAAGACGTACGAGAACTTAGAGACTAAAACCCTAGACAATTGCACACCCTCACACATATAAGAAAAGAGTAATTTATGAAGTGNTTGAAGACGTGCGAGAACTTAGAGACTAAAACACTAGACAATTGCACACCCTCACACATAAAAGAAAAGAGTAATTTATGAAGTATATGGGATACAGGAGTGAGGTAGGGTTACCTTCTACGGTCACGATACGAACCGGGGTCGCTGGAGCGGCTGTCGTATCGACTCATGCTGTGATGCGTGCACTTCGCAGTCAGATTAGCAGCGGATGCACGGTGGATTGAAAGGTTTCGCCGGGAGGTTTTGAAGAGAAAGAACAGTACTGGACTTTCTCCTTTTGGGCGCAGAGAGAGAGCAAAGCAATGCGACTCTAGGCTTCTCGAGTCTCAGCTGTTCCCGACTCACTGCCCTTGCACCGTAGTTTTACTATGGGGGAATCTCAATTTACACCCCAAAATTGTTTATTTTTTTCTTTTTTCACCTTTAAAGATTAATGTATTACGAATATTGTAACGAGATCCTTTCCTTAATTTTTATTGTTTATTCCGTCAAAATTCAGTCTACTGACATCAGCGATGAAATTAATAAAAATTTTATATTATAATATTTTTAATACATTTGAAGCAGAGTGATTAATAAAACTTTTGAGTGACTATCTGAATTTTAGTCTACTGTTTCAATTAAGTTCACAATGAAATTTTTTTTCTCAAATTTGTCCTTGAACTATAGATATTCTATCAGTGCGGCTCTTCTTTTACATTTCATCTCATTTGTCCACAAAATTGTCTCAGAAGCAGAGGTGGCAAATGGGTGAATTGGGTTAAATAAATCTAATTTATTTTTTTACTCATATAGTAAATGGGTTATAATGGATTGAGTTTATAACGGGTTAGGTTAAATTAATTAACCTATAAAATAATTAAAAATTTTAATGAACACATTAGTACATCAAAACATACTCACACATTAGTAATACACTAAAATACAAACACACACACATTAATATATCAAAACACACGCAAACTAATATACTAAAAATACACACACATATATTAACACAAAAATTAAAATACATTTAATAAAAAAATACACAAATAATAGGTCAGGGTGATTGTGGTCTATAGGTCAACCCACAGGGGTAGTGGGTCAATCCATGGGTTATGAGTTGACCCATTAGTCGTGGGTCATGTGTCGACCCACAAGTCGTGGGTCATGGCTGGTGTATTAGTATGTGTTTTTTTTTGTATTAGTGTGTATATATTTTGGTGTATTAGTGTATATTTTTTGTGTAATAGTGTGTGTATTTTTTAGTATATTATTATATTTATTTAATTTTATTACTTGTGTTATATAATAAAAAAATAAATACTCAATCCAATGGGTATTCATTTGTAATTCATATTAACCTGTTTAATTAAAATGAATAATATTACTCAACCTATTTAAAACTCATATTAATTAATATAGATACCCAACCTATTAATTTATAGGTGAATTAGATAGATTAATGGANCTGACATCAGCGATGAAATTAATAAAAATTTTATATTATAATATTTTTAATACATTTGAAGCAGAGTGATTAATAAAACTTTTGAGTGACTATCTGAATTTTAGTCTACTGTTTCAATTAAGTTCACAATGAAATTTTTTTTCTCAAATTTGTCCTTGAACTATAGATATTCTATCAGTGCGGCTCTTCTTTTACATTTCATCTCATTTGTCCACAAAATTGTCTCAGAAGCAGAGGTGGCAAATGGGTGAATTGGGTTAAATAAATCTAATTTATTTTTTTACTCGTATGGTAAATGGGTTATAATGGATTGAGTTTATAACGGGTTAGGTTAAACTAATTAACCTATAAAATAATTAAAAATTTTAATGAACACATTAGTACATCAAAATATACACACACATTAGTAATACACTAAAATACAAACACACACACATTAATATATCAAAACACACACAAACTAATATACTAAAAATACACACACGTATATTAACACAAAAATTAAAATATATTTAATAAAAAAATACACAAATAATAGGTCAGGGTGATTGTGGTCTATAGGTCAACCCACAGGGGTAGTGTGTCAATCCATGGATTATGAGTTGACCCATTAGTCGTGGGTCATGTGTCGACCCATAAGTCGTGGGTCATGGCTGGTGTATTAGTATGTGTTTTTTTTTGTATTAGTGTGTATATATTTTGGTGTATTAGTGTATATTTTTTGTGTAATAGTGTGTGTATTTTTTAGTATATTATTATATTTATTTAATTTTATTACTTGTGTTATATAATAAAAAAATAAATACTCAATCCAATGGGTATTCATTTGTAATTCATATTAACCCGTTTAATTAAAATGAATAATATTACTCAACCTATTTAAAACTCATATTAATTAATATAGATACCCAACCTATTAATTTATAGGTGAATTAGATAGATTAATGGACAATGGGTTAAAATTATCATCTCTACCTCCAACAATACAAAGTGAGGTAATTAGAGGGCATTTATGATGACTCAACCCAATTCCAAACGTTACTTGTCCGGTGCTTAAACATATTTCAATCAAAATTTGATCGATCACATTTTTTTTTTTGCTCTTTCTCCTACATACAAATGTTGTCTCACTATCCAAACACCACCACAACCTCAAAGAAGCCCCACTATACACCCCCAAGCACCACCACCGTGTCCTTTCGTAGCAATTTCTTATCTCCTATCCTCCGGTATACCTCCAACCTCATCTCTATCCATCATTATTTTGTTGTGAAAGTAATTATTCTTTGCAATGACGATCCTACAATATAAATGACATACGAAATTATAGCCCAAAAAATCATATATGAATCGTGCACCTTTTTCCTACGTAGATGTGTCAGTAAACACCGTACATATGATAATTTGTTATAAAAGTATAATACCACATATTCATGCTGTCATGATATCACTAATGTAGTAAAAATCTTTAATCATATTATGTACTTTTGGAGTTGTAATTTTTTTTGTTGAACATTGAATTTTACGACTTCCGAGAGCAATTATTGAAATGAACATAGATGATAGTACACCCTGAGATCCAAAGGTAATTAGATAAGTTTTTTCAGGTTAGGATTGTATAGGGAAAGGAAATTGCACCCCTAAATGTCCCTCACTCTCNCACCACAACCTCAAAGAAGCCCCACTATACACCCCCAAGCACCACCACCGTGTCCTTTCGTAGCAATTTCTTATCTCCTATCCTCCGGTATACCTCCAACCTCATCTCTATCCATCATTATTTTGTTGTGAAAGTAATTATTCTTTGCAACGGCGATCCTACAATATAAATGACATACGAAATTATAGCCCAAAAAATCATATATGAATCGTGCACCTTTTTCATACGTAGATGTGTTAGTAAACACCGTACATATGATAATTTGTTATAAAAGTATGATACCACATATTCATGCTGTCATGATATCACTAATGTAATAAAATTCTTTAATCATATTATGTACTTTTGGAGTTGTAATTTTTTTTGTTGAACATTGAATTTTACGACTTCCGAGAGCAATTATTGAAATGAACATAGATGATAGTACACCCTGAGATCCGAAGGTAATTAGATAAGTTTTTTCAGGTTAGGATTGTATAGGGAAAGGAAATTGCACCCCTAAATGTCCCTCACACTCAATGAATGATAAACAAGTTTAGTTTTAAACCATCCAAAAAAAAAAGTTTAATTTTGAAGGGTAGTAAAATTATTGACGATTAAATTGTATGATGGGGTTTCTATAAATATTTATGGAATATCAGGGGCTGCTTAAAGAATAAACCCAAATTTATGGTTCATATAACAATTTACCTAAACTTATATCACAGACTTAAACAAGAGTTGTGTTGTACGATAATTCAAGTTTTTCAATTATCCCCAAAAATTTGGGCTCCAAGCTCTTTTGATGTTTCCCTCATGGCCGTTGCTCTTCCTCTGCGTTCACTGAGTGTCAGAGCTTCGTCATGGGACACACAGCAGAGACTCTCTTACAACCCCCACCGCACCGCCCACAAGAAACCCCAAAACCATAACACTCTCTCTCCCACCACCACCACCACCGCTACAACTACAACACCATCAGTTTCCCCATTAACTACCTCAACCAACCGCAGAGACCTGTCTGTTTCAGAACTTCTCAAGCGCCGCAATCAAAACCGTACTCAAGGTAATATTAATTGCCGCTCAATGAATTTGGATAATTTAATAGTTTCGTTGATTATATGATATTTTTTTTCATATTTTGACTCTCAATTCATTGAGGTAAAGTAGTGAATTTGGATGAATCTTATCTGGGTGACGAGAGATGGTTGCCGAGTCCTCCGAAAGTGGAGAAGCCGCGATCGATGTATAATGCAGCATCGTTGGCATACATTGGAGACTGCATATACGAGGTACATGTTCGATTTTACTTAATTGATTGCCTTTTCGTTTATCTTCTATAGCCACTACTTCTACAGTTTTAAGAATATACTTGTTCTGATTTGATTCGTGTGTGCGATGAACAATTAATGAACAGAATAATAGAAGAAGCACTAAATTGTGTGGTTATGCAATTTGCCTACGTTGACGATCCTAGAGCGGTTATCTTGTTTTTTTTCTATACTAAATTAGGGTTACAACTTAACTTATATATATGTATTAGAACGCTAAGTAGAACATCGGAAGGCACGTGCTACTCCATATCGTGGGTGCACTCCCCCAGCCTATCTTCGACTCAGTAGTAATTCAGATCCGCTATATGGCCAGTTGTCTTCGCCGATGCTCTGACAACTGGTCCATTATCCCCTTCGTTCTGGTGTAACTCTTTATACTCCGAATATGAGCCACTTATCGCCACAGTACTCTTGTCTAATTATATTATTTTTGGTTTCACCATCCATTCATACAAACATACTCATTTTCACCAGACGTACTCATATAATATATCCTCAATTATATCAATATGCATAATTGTAATTTTACTCTCCTCTAAAATTCATGATATTAAATCCAAAGGGATTCTATCATTGACATTTTCTACGTCTATGAAAACCATACGATGATCCTTTTGTTTCCCCCTCTCCCTTGTCATTTGACTTTTAATTTATGGTACTAGCATGATAGTATAAAAATGATAATTCGTATACTGCTATGGATGCCCAACGTGCCTAGGGAAAGTGGCATGCTTGTAATTTAGTTTGCAACGTTGAGTTCCCAATGGTGGCACCTTCAAGGTAAATGAACATAGCTGGTTATATGATATGTGGGAAAATCCATTTCAGGATGATTTGTATAGAAGATACAGTTTTTCTTGTAGCTGTCCACTGCCATTGGTGATAGTTTGCTGTGTGAATCCATTTATCGTGTGGAACATAAGCTTTATTGTGCACCATTGGAGGCATAATTGATTGTATGTAAAGGACAATGAATTTGACGGAAGAAGTTGTTTCCCCATTCTTGGAAAACAATGGAGATCCCGAGGAAAGTAGAATGGATAAAGTACTCCACATGGAAAGGCATATTTTTATGTTCCAAATCTGTAACTTGCCTAATATAGTAATATGGAAAGCTCAGTTCAAGATCATATATAAATTTTCAGTAATGCATGATTTAAGCCTGTTTGAGAGAGCCGCTAGTACACTATTGAAGATCTGTTTGAAAATGCCCTGACATACTGCTGAATGATATGAGTTTTGTACATAAGTTTATGAAAGAGGATTGGGAGTATTGCTGGAGGCTCCACAAACTTTGATAACATTAGGGAATTGGATGTAAATGGTACGCCTTTGGATGAATAATAAGCAACTTGTCAGGAAAAACTTGATAGAGTGACCAGTAAAACCTACAATATACTGAGTGACAGACATTATAGCTACCAGATGTGGTAGTCATATGGGGTTGAGCGATCTCAAGAAAGTTGACAATCGATGTAAACGCCAATTTGCATGCTTAGTTCCATAGGAAGCGTGTAATTATTTATGGCATATTAGAGAGATATCTATTTGTAGTTGCTGTGATATAGACTTCTTTTTAATGTATGTTTTTTGTTGTTTCTTGAAAAATGCAGCTATTTGCTCGCAGACACTTTTTGTTTCCTCCGCTAAATATTGAAGAATACAACGATCGTGTAATGGCAGTCGTACGCTGTGAAGCCCAAGTATGAAATATTCCTGTTTCCTTGAGTTAAGGCAATGCTCACTTAAATTAGTGATTGGGCATATGAAATTTCTTCTATTTTTATCAAATTATGTTCCTGTTTAGGAGTTTAGTAATATCACTTTTTTTTTTAATCACAAAGTGAAATCACCTATTGTTTTTGTGACAAAGTTTTCCAATTTGTANTCTATTTTTATCAAATTATGTTCCTGTTTAGGAGTTTAGTAATATCACTTTTTTTTTAATCACAAAGTGAAATCACCTATTGTTTTTGTGACAAAGTTTTCCAATTTGTATGTTTTGCACAAGCTTAGTTTATGGCGCTCTTTGTGCTGCCTCTGGGTGTGTGTGTGTGCTTTCAGCTGTTGTGAATACTTGTTGCCTATGTTTTATCGTACCTGCACAGACCCTTTTCTTTCCTGCTATCCTCCTCTACATCTTTCTATGTCCATTGTATACATCTAGGATGCAGTATCGTTGTTTGGATCTGGTTTGCACTAGATTNCACAGACCCTTTTCTTTCCTGCTATCCTCCTCTACATCTTTCTATGTCCATTGTATAGATCTAGGATGCAGTATCGTTGTTTGGATCTGGTTTGCACTAGATGCTGTTTGAGCTCAAGTGCTGCCCAAGAGAGGCTCTTTGGTTTTGTTATACACGTTTTTTCTTGAGATTTCTTCTTTGCCTCTTTGGGAGTCCTACAGTTTCATTTATTTCTATAGCTAAAAGTTTAACTTGTAATTTTGTCATTCTATTAAGTTTCTGTGATATGTAGGGCAACCATTGATTATTTGTGTTTCTCCTGTTTCAGGATGCAATGCTCCAAGAACTTACTAATGATAATTACTTAACAGAAGAAGAAAGGTTAGTAATATATTTTGGGCTTTCCTTATGTTTCTTTCTTGATCTTGTGATTTGTAGTTCAATGATCCTTCATGTTACAGAAATAAAGTAATCTCAAATCTTTATTAGTTACACAAATTTAGGAAAGTTTATGCGGGGTGGCAGAAAGAAAGAAATAACCAACGTTTTAGGCTGAATATCTAAACCTGGTGCACGAAGTGGAAGCAATATATATTACAGAGGCCTATCTATTAATTGAGTTTTACCTCCCAGCGATAGGAGTAATATTAGGCTTGTGAATAGAGCATGTATCCCACATTGAAAGAATATGGCCACTCAATGTTGTTTTATATGATTGAGGTGTCTTTCCGCCCATTGCCAATTGATTTTGGGTTAGATGCCTATAACTTGGTATAAAAGTTGGACCTTTGGTGGTTAGTGAGCTATTATTCTTTTTATATTAACCATGAACTTTAATTAAAAGTAGAAAATATTACAAATAGGCGGATAAGAGATCCAACCGATCAAAAAAGGAAACAAAAAGGGGAATTACAATAAAAACTCCAGAAAATACAAACTGTTTTCCAATTATAATGGATCAACATTGATGCAAATGCATTGGACCAACTCTTTCATCATTTTGAATTCTTGATTTGTTTATTTGTCCTTTTCAGTTTGGCTTGTTTGTCCACGTGCGAGCTTGAGCCGCACTCGCATGTTGAGGAGGATGTGAAGAGGGATTGTATCATATAACAAAAGATTAATACCATCCAAGGTTGGTTTGCATGATTGAGGGACCTCTCCAGTCTATGCCAATTTATTTTGGATTGGATACCTCTATCAAGGCTCAATTTTGTCCCCCACCTTAGGATTGAAAAATCCACTATTATCAACTATTTGGGCCTCAGGCCCTCCTTAGTTGACTTACAATGACAAAGGCATTTTAATTTCATGCTCCAAGTCATGATTCTTAGCAGCGTCCTGCTCTAATTGTTTCGCTAGATTCTTGAGTTTATTCATGCACTCTGCTGTTTGAGTGTCGAGTGGTATCAAAGTTCCATGGATTTCTCATTTTAAGAAATCACAGTATAGGGCCAGGTTATGCCCGTGAAATTATTTTTCGAGATGGTCGTTTAGGTTTAAGGTTATCCTTTTACAGGTGGTCATCTAAATGGTTAAGGCAAAGTTATGTTCATTTGTATTTTGTACGCATCTTTCAAATTATAAGTGAGAGGTTACTTAAAGAGGCATTGAAAAAAGTGGCTCTCGGAAGCCCAAAATAACTTATTGAGAAGAGTGAGCAATGGAATTTAAAAGAGGGTTTGGTTCTTTAATAGGTGAATGCCAAAATATGCTAATTGGCCCAAGTATGGGCTTTATTTCACTTTGGTCACCTAACTACCAGTAGCATTCATTTGGTTGCTGATGTTTCATAGTGATTAATTTACCATCCAGATTTCTTTACTTTATGATTAGTTGGTTTGATGAAGAACCTGATAACTTTGTTGTGCAATGCAATGGTGAGAGAGGATCAGAATGAAAATATTGGATCCTAAATATATTGCGGATTTCATCCATGTTTTTTTAGTCCTTTGGAATTGGGATGAAAGGTTGGGTTGTTTTCATGAGTTTTGGTTTTTTCGGAATCTACTGCCTCATCAGATGTAGCTTTCTTTGGCTAGTATCAGGGTCCATTATCTAACCTACATATAGCAATTACTTTAAGCCAATTAATCTTGGGAACCTATGCCTCTGAGTAGGTCACCAAAAATCTGGTTGGGACTGAACAAGTTTTGGCTGGTCATATGCTTTTTGTGGATTACTTGCAGGATGAGACCTGCCAAGGACTTGAGTTACCTGGCTGGGTGAGGTCTGTTCAGGCCCAATAACAATGCTTGGGGGGTAATCAAATTATTCAAATAATTTTCAGAAACTAATTTCTGATCGTCTGATTGAATAAATAAAGTAGTCCATTGACTCTTCAGGTGCTTAACAAATGACAACTTGGGCTGTAATGTAAGAGATTTTTGGTATTTCATTGTTGCCAGTGATATTAAGACAACTAGTCGCTCAGGCCTGTGGCTTGTGATATTTTAAAAATGAAGTGAATCTAGAACAGATTAGAGTCATGGCAGAGGTGAAAGCAGCTATCATCCTTCTGTCATTCATGATAATGTATGTCTATGGTACCAAATCCATTGATCTATAAAATACCTAAGCACCAACAAAGTTTCAGAAGTCCTATTACTACTACTTTGCAGCAAAACCCGATGGTCAAGGGGAAAATCAAGGCACTTGAACCATCTGAAAACCTTCATTGATAAATCATATATTATGCCATTGTCCATCATAGACCTAAGAAAGAAACAGTCTAGAGTATATGCGAAGGGATGAAAAGACTTGCTGCTTATTTCTTAAACAACATCAACTTCAAGTTGCACATATAGAACTCACATAACATGAAGCTAAATTGAATTTTGTATGCTTTGCTTCTGTAATGTATGTTGTTGTAAAGCAGAAGCAAAAACCTGATGAACATGCTTTTACTCCTTCCAATCTTCCTACCAAAGAGAAGGACGAAGGAGCTCCTCCATAGAATCATTGTATTGTTATAGCAGGATAAGTTGGACGGCTGTAAGCATCTTTATAAAAGCCAAAGAAATAGAAGAGAAACTGCGTAGATGTGCTTTTTGTGTTCTTTTATTTTTTTGGTTAATAAGAGGAGCTATCTGCACAAACTTTGAGGCACTAATCCTGGAAAGGAATCTGGTGCTTCTTGTTATATGCAAAGTTGCTGTTTGAAGTCATGGCATCTGACAAACATCTACTGCAGGGATGTTCTTCGTTGGGGCAAAAATAGTAGTTCAGCTAAAACGCGAGCTAAAAAAAGAGCCGGTGTAGCCATTTACAACAGAGCATCTTCACTGGAAACACTAGTCAGTTCCCTTATACTCGGTGTTTTTCTTGATATTCATCAACATGAAACGAATAGTTTTTTGATTAACTATTGTTTGTGAGTGCCGAAGGGAGGCTATTAAATGGACACTTTTTATTTTGGCTGTGTTGAGGTCTATCAAGCATGGCATTCTCTGTCTGTCTATACATTTCCACCTTATAAAATACAAATAAATCTAGACCACACCATTTCATCTTATTGAAAAAAGCAAAATTGTCTATTCCAGTACCTAATATCTGTAGAAGAATTGTGGAGGTGTCATAGAGGGGTGGTTTTGGATTGGTTGAACTAATCCATTTATTTAATAACATGTAGGTTGGCTATCTCTACCTGACAGATGCGAAACGTTTGGAAGAGATGATGCTAAAGTTGGGCTTCTCTGCTGGTGAATCTAACCAGTTGATACTAGAGAGATTAAACAAAAATTTGACAAAATCTAATATATGAAACGCGTAGTTGTTCTTGGTTCAATTTATATCCAGCATTCCCCTCATTCTGCAGTGTACATGCTGCTATATACTGTTTACTTCCTTTTTTCCTTTTGCTCATATCAGTTGAGTTGAACGAAAAGAGGTTCAATCTGTACTGCCAGCGAAGTTCTGTTTCCTTTGGACAGTTTTGTTTATTTTGTGTAACGGGGTCTGTAATTATTGTTTATAGTGAATAAAAGGATAAGGAGGCATAGTTCTGGAAGCAGAAATTATCTGGTTGGTTTCTAATATCTACATTTCTCATATTCACTTCATCAGCAGGCTGGAGCCCCCTCTCCTCAGGTTTGTCATTTAATTATCTAGATTCCCTCACATTTCACATATTACACTTAGACCCTTATAAGGTTTGTGTGCATGTAAAACATAACTCCTATCGTCAATCTCCATTAAAGTAGAAGTTAAAAATTTATTATGTCATCATAAAATATAAGAATAATTTACCAAACTACCCTTCTTGAACCAAACATTTGGGACACATTCTCAGTTGAGTGAATTGTACTCTGTAATAACACTTACGGAACTCCAAACAGCAAAGCTTGTTAGATACCAAGGGGTCTTCAGATGTCCCGAAGTGTTCTTCAATCTGGAGGAGAACAAACTCGATAAGAAGGTTTAAAAGCACAACAGACATTCTGGGAATCGCAACTATAAGGGTAGTTTGGTCATTGTAAAGAACTTCAAAAAAATATGTAAGGAGGGCATTTAGGTTTTTTGTTTTGTTTCGTTTTGTTGCACCTGTCGATTAATCATCATTGACAAAAAATCTAGTTTTAGTATGTCAAATGTGAGGGAGTTTACGTGATTAAGTAACATATTTACTCTTTTAATTATTTCCGTACTAATCCACTTTCTTTTTTTTTTTTACTAATTTGGAACTGTAAACTTTTCTAAGACTAGAATTATAGTTTGATAGAGAGCAATGTTGAGTTTTTGGGAAGCAGCCCGGGCAAGCATATTGGAATGTACAAAAATGGTGTCTTCCATTTATATCCGAAGATAACCTTAACAGATTGTGTGGTACATAAAACGATTCAGATAAGGCAATTCAGTTTCAATGGAGAACCCACAACCCTACATGCCATCACTAACCATCAACAAAAATTGCATGTGTATTGATTGAAGTGGGCCCAGCCAGACTCGGATGTTTGCTTTGGATATGGCTATCATCAGATACCTTGTTGAGTATGTGGCAAGCCCATCACATAATGCAGATAACAGTCTAACAGACACTTCTTTTTCCCCATTCCATACCAAAAATAATTGAGATTTTTTTTTTACCTAGTTCTAAAATAATTGAACCAAATTTATTTTTTGTTCAAATTTAACTAATCAGAATCCAAAATATAAAGAGTTTTTTGGGGTTTATAATTTATTTTTTGGCTATAGAGTGTTCAGATTTGTTCGACTACTCCTTCGAGCTCAACGGTTAGCCACCGTAGTTAGAGCTGGGTTAGAACATGTCCTTAAAAGGGACAACGGTGACTAATCCTTAAGAAGTGTGAGAAGGAATTAAACATGAGATACATCTTGGTGCTCAACCACTAAATTGTCATAAAGGTTTTGAGCATTATAATTGAAGTTGATCTTTGAAATTGAAATTTAGATGTCTTTATTGGTACCTACATAGTTGCACGCAACGTTCATGATTTCGGGGTTTGAGAAAACTAAGTAATTAAAATTTTATTTTGGAGAGATTGATTTTTAAAATTACGCCTATAAGGTATCGTTGGGCAAGTTATTATATATTGCAGTCCAAAATGAAGAAAGGCCCAAAAAAGGGATTGGGGGTGCGTTTTGGAGCATGACTAGGATGATAAGGCCTATCCATTCTCTTATCATCAGCAATAGGGTTAAAGGCTACCAAGTTCAAAGAGATAATAGCCACCATGTTGAATGAAAGCAACAAGTTTAGATATCGTGATGTAAAGAAACATGTTCTTCACTAGAAGCAACGCTGAGGTGTCATCCTAATCCCCAACATTAAACGTAGCTTGATCACGAAAGCAATCTATTTGATGAAAAGCCTCAACCAAATACTTAGTATTTTGGGTTTTAATAATGAAGGTTTGGGATCAATATTAGACTATATAATTGGGATCCGGATTCTCTGCTGCTGATTAAAACGACGTCGTTTTACACCAACAACAACAAAGTAAAACGATATCGTGTTGGTGTAAAAAAATACTGTTTTAATCAACAGTACATCTTTTGTTGCTTTTCTAACAACGGGGAATCCTCACCCATAAAATTGTGAAAACGAAAGACATTTTTTTTTTTTTTNTAAGAACCTAATGAAATATTAGTTAGTGGACTGAAAGTGGGTTTCACCAAATTTTGAAACACGGAACTCATCTAATTGTTATAATGAATTAGATCCTATAACATTACTGCTCAGGGAAAAAAAAATTGGAAGTTTATTTCTTTTATTCAACGTTTAAGGGTCTGATCAAATGTAAGTCATCCACGTCGGAACTAAGGTATTCATAAGCGATAAATTCTTTATAGTCTGGCCCCTAGGGTTTACCAAAATTTAAATTTAGAACTCGTCTCTATTATCACTTGAGTTACCTTTAAAATTAAAGTTTGAAGGTTTGCACTTGTGGTTTCATTGAATAATTTACTATAAACTTGGGGTTTGAAAGAGACAAAATAGTGACATACACCTCCAAGGGATCGTGGAGTAGAAGAGAGAGAGGGAGAGATACTCTTAAGCCCCGATGAGCCAAGAAGAGAATGCTTGTTTGTCTCTAAAGAGAATCGAAATTTAAAACATAATAATACAGACATTTTGAATCATTTCAAATTTGTGATGAGGATTTTCTTACGTACAAAGTCCATCAGTACTTTAGCTGGTTCACAATAGGATAGAATAATGTGGCAAACATCATCATGTTGGGCACACTTTTAATGACCGTCTGCTACAAGAACTCTTGCTTTCATGTATTATTATTATTATTATTATTATTATTTATGTTTGTCAAACATACACTACTTTCTAACTACCCTTTATTAATTTGTATATTGGATTTGTGTTGTGGCCAGTTTGCCCTATCCAGATAGGCACATACACCATGTAATGTACTACTTAGACCTAAAACTCTAATTAGAGAGAGAGAGAGAGAGAGAGAGAGTAAATCTTGTCTACCGGGTAGATTATAAACAAAAATCACTGCTGCCCTAGTGGACGCCAACCCTAATGGACTCCAACTACTTTTTGTTACTTTCCTGGTAGGGTAATGTGAATTGTCCTCAAATAAGGTTTGTGAAGGGTAATATTATAGTGTTTTAGCATTTAAACTTGTAAGAGCTAAAAAGAGTCGGGAAAAACAAAATTATAGTGTTCGGCCGAGTCTCAAAAATCTGTTATATCGGGAGTTATTCTACGTATTGCTTGACGTAAAATAGATAGTGAATTCAACAATCTCATTATGTTGATAGCCTACTCTCTAGCGGTCGATCTTCTTTTATCCAGTCCGTATAAAATATCATACTTTGTGAAAAAAGCACACTACTAATTTTTTATATGTAAAACACGCAAATTTCATATAGAATTTGAATTGAAGATCCGATTGCTTTAGGCTAGCGTTGTACTCGTGTCTCATCACATCCATTTGTTTATTTTTTTGGTAGGTCTCAAGAGTCTCTAATCAATGACCATTTGTATACAATAACAGTGTGTTATTCGTAGGACAAACGTGACTCATATGTGACCACAAAAAACATGGGTCTAGGCCTAATATCCTATTACATTGATATAATCAAACACTTGAGAGGCCAAATAGGCCCACTCCTGGAAAAGTCCACTACTGTTGTAATGGATTAAGGAGGAGGAGGACCCACCAAAATCAGTTACTGTGGATGTATGTAGATTGCAATCCACAGCCGAATGGTGTGTTTGTTAAATGTGGCATGCTCATCCATGATAAGATAGAACTTGTGGTTATAGCATGAAGCTCACAGACTCCATCCTTCTCATAAACTCCTTGAAATTGATTTTTTGTTGCCTTTGTTCGTCCAAATGTCCTATTAGCATGAATGATGTGTCATCCTCATCTGGCTGCTGGCCTCCAATGGTCCCAAAATGGACATGCTGCTGACTTGTCATTCTCATCTTTCTTGCACCAAGAAAGTAGTAATTATCAATTCAAATTGAGTAGGCCCAATTTGATATTATTGAGGTGATTAAGTGGGATATATCTAGTAAGTCATGTAAACTTTTGTGGGGAGAATTGAAGTTTTTCTATATGCATTGATGGAGGAGAAGAGAGGAGAGTTACATTCGGGGTTGGTTAGATGTAGATCCTACCAAGTGACACTTTTATCGAGATAAACCCACCAATTGAGATACAGCTCTAGTTAAGAAGTTCAAATTGAAACGTGTGGGGGGGAAATAGAAGATAATTTGTGTAAGAAGTTCCACTTCCTTTTAATATAAATATACTTTCGTCATAGAATTTAAGCTTCAGATTCTAGTTTGTTGTATTCAATAATTCTAAGAATAACCTTTAAATTCAATAAAATACGAGACATGTGAATAAATAATATTAAAACTTGTTTTGGTTACAAGATTTTATGAGAACTAGAAAGGATTAAGGATGTTCTCGAACTACAATTCTATTTCATAATCTCCCAAAGGAATGATTGATTATAAATTCGGGTGGGATTTATTTAATTAAAGTTTATTTTCCTCTCAAATACATATATATAATAATAATAATAATAATAATAATTAGACTTAGCCCTCACTCTATAAGGTGGGTTGGTGTTTAACCTTGCACACAGCAAGCACTTGCAAGTTGCAACAAACTGATGAATATGACTGGAAGTGTTAATGATCAATGACACGACAAGAGGAAAAGGAAGAAAGAAAGATGAAACACAAATGGTTCAACAGTTTGTTGAAGGAATTATGGTGGCTGGCGGTGCAGATATAGATGTGGGGTGGTGTTAAAAGTGCAGTGGTAGGATCCACTTATTCAGAGGTTGCTGACCTAAAACCCTAAAAAGTGCACTATGTTGGCCCAGGTGCTACAAGTTTACAGCTAATCATCCGGTGTCCACTTCAATCATTTTTTCTACCTATACCTTCATAATATGTACAATTAGGTTTGGTTACGGTATTTAAAAAAAAAATCGATACGCTATTATTTATCATCTTTTGGTTACTATATCATTTTTTTTTGTAAATTTTATTAATTTTTGA